ATCATTTTGACTAAAAAGCCTTAAGATAATGCTTCAGAGACAAAAATTTTAAACTAATTTGCAAATCAAATGATGTAGATCAAATAAGAAATAAACACATTAATTAATAATTAAAAAATAATCTAACCATCAATATTCACATCATTTGATTTACATGATTTCATTTAAAATTTTAATCTCATTAGAATTATCCGTATATGTATAATGGTATAACCCTAGAAAGATATAGAGATCAATGTTCATTCGCAGTGGTCCTAGGCAGTGACATGTGGAAGAAGAGGATCCAGTAAGTACTGAGTGGTGATTGCTCTCCTACATGTTTTGGATTAAAAATTTGACCAAAACGTTTTCGTTTTTCATGTTTATGAATGTTAGTGGATTTTTAATGTTACATAAATTAATTATTTGTTGTTAGTGAAAAATGAAGATGGAATCTTTTAGCTTTATTAATTTTTTTTTCTTTCTTTTGTAACTTTTGTAATTCTTTTCTTGTTAATCCATGTTTATTACCCTATTCACTAAGGGTGATAATAAGTCTATAGTTAGTAGCATTTTTTCCATCATCCTTCTATTCATTATCCATTACCTCATTTCTTTTACTACTATTATTTTCTCCATTTTCTCCATCTTTTCTATTTGTACTTATTGGACAAAAGAAGGTGTTTGTGTGGTGGAACTTTGGACTATTCCTTAATTTTGTGCAGATAAGTTTGAGTCAAACAACGATTTAGTTGAGCTGTTGTATTATGGAGGAGACAAGTTAAGGGATATACTGTTGCACCGGTTCATGAACTTTGTCAAACCGCAGTGAGCTTGAATCTCCTTAAAAAAAAAAACGAGATACTTGTGCTTCAACCTAATTGTATACGTGCTTCTTAAAAGAATATCATAATCTTCTTCTAATTTTCACAACAATAAACAATTATTGTGGCGTGCACATCGTGGTAATAATTTTCTGCAATGTCTTTCTCAAAACCACATTGAAAGTTCTACACTGAAAGTTATGCACAGTAATTTTCTACAATGTCTTTCTCAACACCATTATAAGGAACCAAGTAAAAAAGTTTCACACAGTAAGTGGCAGATTGAAGAATTTTTCTTCTCGGGAACAAGATGAAACAAGTAGAATCATTTTGTGCAATTTCCCGTGGCTCTCTACTCTATATCGGCCTTTTGACGAATATTGTTAAGTATCGGACTGCATGGCAATCATATGCTCAAGATTGCATCAAAAGAATAATGAAGAGTTGGGGCAATTAATTGAATTCATTTGCCCTAATGAGAATTTACATTTCATTTTGTTCCGCAATTGATTTGATGAACTTTTAACCATTTGGATCACTTTTACAGGTTAATATTTGCACAAAAAAAAAAAAAAAAAAATCAACCAAATTGTGAATAGTAAGTTTAAGAAAAAACTACAAAAGGGAGACTAACAAGACATATACCACATGTATAATGCCTCGAAAAGGACTCTCATGTCCCATGATCGGTCTATGTTAATTAGCTGTATGTGTAAACATGAGAGAGAGAGAGAGAGAGAGAGAGAGAGAGAGAGAGAGAGAGAGAGGAGGTGGGTTGGTGGCTTCATACTTTGCTGGGGCTGGCCGAGTTGACGGGCCAAGCAAATGGCCGAGAGTGGCCCTAGTGGGTTGGTCCACCGTGCACCCACGCGAGAGAGCTTGAATAAAAAATAAACAAATTAGACCCCTCTGTGCACACGCAATAATCATATCGGTTGCCCTCTAAATTCCCAGTTTGTTTAATTTTTGGCACCAGAAATAGGCAGCTGTTAAATCCAGCACCCCTCCGTACGCAACACTTTGCCCACTCTTATGATGCTCCCCTCTCTCCTGTGTCTGCATATTTTATCCGTATCTATCTATCCACCAGCCATTACAAACTTGTATAGAGATAGACTAGGCACAAACACAAAAACTTTGGGAGAAAGAAGAACACCATTGTAGCAGTCATGGATGCATGTTCATGTGAATCATGTCTTTTGCTTTCTCTCTTTATTCTTTTGTTGTTTTCTTTTAATGTAGGACCCCAAAATTTTCAATTTTCTTCTCTCTGTGGGATTTTTATTTTGATTTATAATGAGGTTGTGATTGATGATCAAATATATGTTTGGTCATGGATAGGAGCTACACAGGGCCTATCCGTGGGAAATTGTTTGGCACATTTTAGCTAGTTCTTTTATCTTTGTTGATTTACTTTTTTGCTAGGGTATGCAATGTCACCTCTTCTCAGTGAGAGAACTTGGGTCATGATGCATGACCATGTGTCATGGTTGGCTGCTTAATATCGATAAATATATGAATACATTATTTATCAATATGTCATATATATTAATAATATTGTCGATATTTCGATTACACCGTATCGTTATGTTTGTCTATAAAATTCTAGCTAAGATGAAAAGTAAATCGCGATATAACATTATCCTATTGGACTATCGGACAAGACACCAGATAAAACTACATTACCCAACATTTTCCTCTTACCATCATATGCTAAAAGTACATCTTTCTTGCCCATCTTGAAAAGCACTTCAAATTGATGTTATTACCACTAATTGTAAGAAGTTTTGAAACTACACGTGACACAATGGATTGTGCTATTTCCATCTTCCAATTGAAAAGTTGAACACGAGTTTAGGTTCATGTTTAGCAGATGATTTTATTGAATTGTTCCTTAATCACACTCACTGATCTTATCCAGTTGCCTTTGGAATTTAGAAGCAAAATGGAAGTTTTATGTAGTGGGGAAGCACCTAAACCATGCATTGTTATATAATAGTGATTAATAAAGGTTAAGGATAGAATCATAGAATGCTGAACTATGTTTTTATATACAACAAGCCATTCAGAATATTTGTCTGCAAGTTGCTGTCTGGCTCTGAGATTTGGCAACACCACTTTTTTAATTGATCTAATCTTCTTTTAGCATTCATCTTTTCTATACAAAATTTGCGAGGAGGTCATGCATAGCCACAAAATGAAAAGTTTAATAATGAACAAGAATAATTAGATATATAATATGAAAAACTAGCTACCACTTATTAGTCATTCATATATAATAATCGAGATTCGATAATTCAGACTAACTAATTGTAGGAAAATGATTTATGCACATTATTTTTGTTCTCCTGCACACCCCTCCATATTGCTATCAGATTGACCAGATTAAAGAAAAACTGAGAGCTACAAGAAAATGAGGTTTGGATAAGGTGAAAAATTGTGTGTAGAGGTAACTCCGCTGGGTGGCAGTACCTTATACGTCGTCATGAAAGAATAATGATGAACTTGTGAACTTGGACGAGGAACACTGAACCTTCAAATCATATATAAATAATAATATGTGGAGGAAGTTAGATCATTATGACCTGAAAAAATCCAAAGCAGGTATCATGTTAACCACATCATATATCAATGGTAATTGATAAGCAGCAGGCTATTCACACACCATTTCTACTTCTTACATATTTTTATTATTTTTTGTCTATTAATCTTCTTTAATTCATTCAATCAGATAACCGAAAATCAGATATATGTATAAAAAATAAAAATAGATGTGTAAATAGCACCACCCTTTATATACATGGTTTAGGTGCCCTGTTTGAGTAAGTGTCACTTCCTTCCCTTCCAATCCTCATAAAAGTTTGCACTTCTTCCTTAAAGAGCAAAGGTTGACATAAGCAGAATAGGGAAAACCAGATCAAAGAGCACAAAGAATGTAATGTGAACCTGTTTTTCGTTATACTTTTATCCGCTTTTGGTTTTCAAAATTTGTTCCGATAGTATTTATGCTTAATTCAAGTGACTAAAAGTATTTATGCCTGCAAATCCGTATTCAAATTCACCATATCACCTATATATATAAATGTATGTATGTATGTATTGCATAGGGTTTAGGAAAGAATATTAAGAGGTCATATCCATCATCCATATGACAAGAAAACTCACCATGCAGGAGAACATACAAGTAGGATAAAATAAAAGAAAGAGGCTGAAAAGCCAATTACTATTGATCGGTACTACGTTGCCAAAGCTCATAAAGGATTCTGCAAAAGATGTGCTCTTGGCCAGTTAAAAACTCAACAAGAATTCTTTTTATAAAGAAAATGGATGGGAGGATTTAGGTATTTGATGCTAACAATTTTAGAAAATTTAGTAATAATTCACCTTCATGTGGTCTCCAATCCAAGGTTGAAGTGCTCAATGAGTCATCCAAATTAAACAAATAAAACAAAAATGAACTAATTAATCATCACAAACTGAGTTTAATTTAATCTTTTACTTTTAAACTGACCTTCATTGCGTCATCGCATAAAATGTTAGTGACTTTAATTAATTTGACTTCAACCCCATTTCTCAAATTCCCCTTTTTTCTCCTGTTTGAAAACATTCCTCACAATAATTATTACTCCATGCACATAGACGAGAAAGTTTTCATGTGCTAAAAATACGGATCGGTACACTAAGTTTCATAATATAATTAGGTTGATTTTTTTTTTTAAGTTACGAAAGTAATTAATTTATTATATTTGATCAATCGGACTATATTTCCGACATACTAAAGAGTCCCTTCACATCAATTTTTTCTCTATTCTAATAACCATCATATATATATGATGCCAAGTCATTATCCAAATCTATAAATGCATGCTCATGCACATGAATCTCATCTCATATTTATAAAACTCATAAACATTTTGAGATTCTCTGTTCGAATTTATATATTCGACTGTTTATTAGAATCTCCTTTCCTCAGCATCGTTCGAATCATAAATTCATAATACCATGGTCTTGTAATACCACCAACAACCACCATGATGGAATATGATCCATGTTTAAGATGCATATATATATCTTCCCCCACATACATCAGACACATTTACCTGTTTCATCTCAGTAATTGTCCACCCTTGCTGGCTTATGTAAGCTTCTGAAACAGTTGCTCTTTTAAAACCGCACGTCCCTCCCCTATATAAACCCCTCTAACTCTTCATGCTGTCATCGCCTGCCCTCCAAAACACAGGTCGCAGCCCCTTCAACTGCAAGTCCATAAAAAACCTTAAACAAAAACTCTCAGCTTTTAGAGCCATGCTTCCAGGTGAGATCATCTCAGGACTCCACTACTTCGAACCTGAAATCCCACTTCCAAATCCCTCCGACTATGGCTTCATGCACAACCAAATCCCCTCCCACCATTTCAACACCTTGTTCAACAACTTATCCCGTCAAATCCCTCCTCCTCCAGGCCATGACTTCACTCAACAATCCTCCAGCCTCAGCTACAACTCCAGCACCTCCGACGATGCTGAAGAACACCACCACCTCAGAGTCATCGAAGAGAGGAAGCAGAGGAGAATGATATCCAACAGAGAATCCGCTCGGAGATCGCGGATGAGGAAGCAGAAGCACCTCGACGAGCTGTGGTCGCAGGTGGTGCGGCTGAGGAACGAGAATCACAGCCTGATAGGCAGGTTGAACAACGTTTCGGAGTCCCGCGACAGGGTTGTGGAGGAGAATGCTCGGCTCAAGGAAGAAGCTTCCGACCTTCGTCAAATGCTCACAAACCTGCAGATTGGCAGCCCTTACAATATAAATGCTTCCACCTTCAGAGAGCTGGATTCAGATGTGCCCTGCATCACGGCCCATCTCAGAGCCGAATCCTCGAACCAATCCATCGCCGCATCGGCCGATTTGCTCCATTAAGATAAATGAGAATCACTGTTCTTCCATTAGAACATTAGCCTACTTTATGTCCCTTTTGTTTACTCTAATTGCTATTCAGTTTTTTATTATCCTTCCAAGCGCTTCGCCACCATCTTACATCAACTTGGCTAATAGATTAGTCTTTATCACATTAATCCTTCAAAACACTCCGCTACCATCTGATATCAACTTGGCTAATAGAGGAGTCTTTATCACATTAAAAATCGATGCATGAGAACATGACAAGAGAGGTAAAGAGAAGGGGATATATTCCGCTGGTTGCACGCAAGAGTTTGCGCTTCTCGCCGCGAACACAACTGTAAAATGTACTTGCAGTTGCAGGTCATAATTACTGAGATATTTCTTTGTAGCCCATCAAAGAATTATCAAACACTGCATCATTTATATCATCATTTTTATCTTCTTTTTTTCTAATTTGACAACTGAGAACCCTACCAACCACCTGAAAAATAAATACACAAGAAATTGCGCATTTAGAAAGATCAGAACAAAAGGGTTACTACTTGGTACTTACTACTATACAACATGATAAATCTCTCCCATCACCACTATAAGGGAAAATAGATACAATCGAATGTACTAAATTCGGGAAATTAACGGGCAAGGATCAGTTCGTGGAGTACATTCAATAACGTTGTGGGAACAATCTGTAGTGAGCCGGAGACTAACAGCGGGAACAGGAGAAAGACAAGAAGTGGTGGAGGTGGTGGTGCTAGTGGTGGCTCATCATACAAAAATGTACGACTACCATGCGAAAACAAAACATTTGAAAAGGTTTATCCACTAGCTAGCAAAATTACACACCTTCCCCTCTCAGTAATGTGTTTTTAAATTTTTTATTTTGACCTGTCTCTGTTGTCTCGCTTTGTTCAGCCAAACCAAGCTTCCATCATTGCTTTCGTGAACGCATTCGAATGTCCTGCCAAGAAAGCCGACGCTTCAGGTGCTGCTTCGACAGTGGATTTACCTTTATCTGGCACTGTTGGAGCACACACACATGCATTTGCCATATATAATGCAGCATTACTAATGATGTAGTCCCACCATATAATTTATGCGTCACATTCCAGCCAGGCCCCTCCTTGAGAATATGTGTATGATCACATTTAATGATTTCATGAGAGAAGAAACACTCATACACATGTAGTGATGATGCACATCCTAGTATTAATTTAAGCAACTTCTTGACCTGCGTCTTAGTCTCGTTCAACATTATTAGTATCAGTTGTACACAACAATGTGTCACGTTATAACATAACATAGAAAAAATACACATAATTTTATGTATGCAACTAGTGACACTCAAGAATCTTTTGCTTGTCTATATTTTTGGATGACTTTGACGATGTTTCCATCATATGATATTTATAAATCTCAAATAAGACTGCAAAATTTTGTCATACCAAATCTTTCTTCTCCTGTTTCTTTATTTTGGAAATAAATAAATAAATCTTTCTTCTCCTGTGAATGAAGGAAACGGCAAAAACCTACTTCGACAGTATTTCTTCTCTTAAGCTCTTCAACAAGATCCTTCTCAGTTATAGCTGAAGTGAGATCAATATCTATAACATATGGACCACAACATTAACAACTTTTCAACGGATATATACATAGTTGATCCGTTATAGTTAATACGTTGATACATTGTCGATATGTTATCAATATGGATCCCACCCAAGTTACAGTTGACGAAGTATAGTTAGTGGTGTACGGTAAAAAGAGCCCATTCACGAACAATGCCCCGTGGAGCTTCCATGGGCCTTTTGCCCTCAATTCACAGGTCTCATGCAATGAATCTGTTCTGGTGTACAAAACAGACAGTAACTACCACTTTGGTTTATTATTGAAGTAGCTTGGAGTCACCATTAATTGGAATGGGATAACAATTTGCGCAACTCAAATACAAAACCTTTAATCTCCTAGATTACAGGACGTAGCAAAATTTACTAAATTAACAAAGTAACTAGGGAAAACGAATGAATTATATCATGGTGCAGTAGCTATGATGTCTTGTGTGTAGATATAGTCTGTGTGAGCAACCATGGTCCTTTTCATCAAACATTCTTCACTGTTCAAGCCCTTGCAATCAACAGCATCATCATCATCCAGCCTTCCTTCCTCCTACAAATTAAAACAAAAACATAAACTAAAATTAATTGAAATTAACATGCACCAGGATTGAGATTAATATGAGAACAAAAAAATAAAGGGTAATTAACTTAGGGAAGTGATTTTGGCAATTCCATTTTCGTCTCTGTACTCCTTTCTTCTTTTAATCGTGGAGGTAACTGAGATTTCTCTGGCTTCTGTACATGAAATATACAGTACAAAAAAGGCCAAAAGGAAGAACATCATCTAGGCATTCGCCATTGTTTTGGTCTCAAAAGCTTCACAACTTCAGTGCAGATTAAGGAAAAGGCTCCCTCCTTTATATATGAATATAATTATGGAGAAAATTTAAAGGCTAGAAATTTAAATTGGGTTTTGACTTTTGGGTGAGTAAATGGCAATGATGGAGTGATGATTCTATTTGCTGCTGCCATAAATGAGATATTGTTGTGCAGCAGAGGAGTGTAGAAAGTCAAAACGTTGCCGTTACCAATTAGTGCAGGTCAAAGCTCATCCTCTTGAATTTCTTATTGTTCCTCCTCCTAGTAAAAATCACCATTTAAAGACATCATTGAGAAGCCTTTTTTTTTTTTCTTTTTTTTCTTTTCTTTCTCATCTGATTTTTTTAGTGTGAGTTTGTTTGGTGATAGGGAGCTGGCTGTACTCTTTACCCAGCAGCTGCAAGTGTACTTGTGTAAGATCAAGTCACATGCTTTGGCATGCATGTGATGGACACTTGTTTTCGAATATCGCTTGTATTAAAAAAACATGATATGGGTTTGAAGGGTTTGGGAGTGGGCTAACCGGGTTGGGGTTTACATTTGAATTTCTTGTTGGTCCACTTCGACTGTGAGCTGCCTGAGTTTAGCCCAATATTTTCAACTACGTAGATATTGTTAGTTGGTCAGGCTATTGCGAATTAGAATTCTTCTCTCGTCTTCTCTTATCCTCCAAAAAGCTTCAACTATCTGCTCAAAGTTCTCTCCAAAGTTGCAACTTTCAGTCATATTTTTGTAATTCCCGACTCAACTGGTGAACCATGGCATTTTCTCCAACACCCATCTCTGATTTTTCGTTCACCAATATTCTAAAACTGCCTAAAAGGCACTCTTCACCACCTACTGTCAACTCAAAAGGCATACCCAGATACCTCATCTTTAACCATGATAGTTCTGCCACAAAGAAGCTTCTGATACCCTTTCACAACACAGGGCAATTCGTGCCCCGAATTCGGATAGAAATTTACCTACACTAGAAATGCTAATGTAGCGGTATTCAAAGTTAATTATGCATTGACACGTGTTTTAACTTTATATGAAAACACTCATTGCCTCACAAAGGCACTTTCGGTCTCATTCTAGCCATCATCGTATGATTTACACACGCCATAAATCAAACCTAGAACGTATCGTCTGAAATTTGTCCACAACCACTGAACAACCTAATATATTATTGAATTTAATTATTAAAAGTGCGTCTAAAATTTTCAATAATGTGAGTGAGTGGTGAGCCGAGCCATTTAAAAGGCAAGGTCCATTACGATTGTAAGCCTAATTAGGAAATACAACTAACCCTCATTTTATAAAGAGGAAATTTTTATAGAACTATCTGATCACGTTATTTATAAGACGATCCCTTCCAGAGTTTGGTTATGTAAGAGCTATAATGCCTATAAGGTGATTAGATAGCCATTTTGATGATTTCATAATTAAAAGTGGTTTTCACGTTCCCTTTTGTCGCTTTGTTATAATTAGGATATTAATCAAACAAAAATTAACATACAAAAAGTAAAAATAAGTGTAGAAATAGAAGCTGAGAGTGAAAAATCATTAGTGCCTCTAATTTATGAGAAATTTTTTAATGTGTCAGAAACACGTTCAATACATAAAGTGTCATAATATCAAAACTTTTTTTCATGTATTTGACCACTAGTTACCGTGTAGTCTGCACACTAAAAAAGATGTCTCGTGATGTATAAGGCCAGGGAATGACACGTGCAACTACAACAACATCGCAGAGTACACCGTCCCAAAAAGTGGAAGTTTACCCATCCCGCTTCCCGGAAATTTTCTTTGTAATTTTGTTGCCTTTCTTTCCTTCTTCCTTCTCCTTTTTGTTCCTTTGCTGCGTCCTCACCTCCTCGGCTTTTGTAAATGGAGTCGGAGCAACACAATCCTCTCACAAGCTGAAATTATAAAAATAAAATAAAATAAAAAATAAAAAATAAAAAAAAAACCCAATTCAGATTTTCCTGTTTGCCAATCAGGAGTTGAATTTAAAAAGAAATGATGTGGATGATGGGATGAAGCATCTAGAGCTTATTGGATTTGGCGGTGGCCGAAGTTTCAACAATGGTTGGTTTGGGGATCTTTGCGTTTATTGCTTCTATTCTTTGCTTTGCCGCTTTCTTCTACACCGCCAAGGACGTTTCTTCTTGATCCACCCTTGGCCATTACTCAAGGTAATAATCCCCAAGTCAGATTATGGTTTTACGGTTTTACCTCCGTCTAGGTAGGTGAAATTTTGTGGTTGATTGATCATGTTCATGATTTGTCTTGTTCATAAATCCAATCTTTTATTTGGGAATTTAATAGTATTGAAAGGATGGATTTTATGCCATGCATAACGACACGTTCTGATGCTGGCGAACCTGACGATAGTGGTTTAGGAAGGCTAAAATGCCTTTTTAAATCTTTTCGACTCTCAAAATGATTGACTAATGGGGCGAAGCTCCTTTGAAAATAAAAAGTATTTGATGTATTGTTGGAATTAGCAAGATTTACTTGGAAGTTTCACCATTTTTTAACTTTGTGGTGTAGGTTAGCTTGAAGGACCGTAATGGAATTACATGCTTGGAAACAGGGTTTAAGATTCAATTCAAATGAAGCTCTTATTACTGCACCTCTAATTAGGGTATGAAGATTTTTTGTTGAGTTCAATAAGATTGAATGATTGCGGTGAAATTTAGAAATATGGAAAGAAAAAAAAAAACCTATAGCTACTGTGGCCAGCGGCGGAGCTAATATGGGATCATTAGTTGTTCACGATCCCAACTATTTCAAAACTTGTATGTGTATTTGTATTTGACTCTTATAAACAGTAAGAGCAAGTTGTGTTTTGATTGCTAAACCAAGCGATAATTCTTGGATTACATCATTATGGTTCGAAAGTGAATTTTGCACTACATGCATCGCAGTTGAGTTTTGTCACGTGATTGAATCAATTGATAAAAATAAACGAAAAGTGTGCCTAAGAAAAAAAAAATAGGGCCTTTAATTTATTTTTATTTTTTTGAAAAAATAAAGACCTTTAGAAATCATTCTTTCTTCTCTCTATCACAACTACCCTCGTCTAGATATCGAACTCGCCATCCTTTGATCCCAAAAGCTTTTGAGGGTATGGTTGCCTTTTAACTTGCAGAGAAAAATAATAAAGGAAATTGCTATTAGCATTTTAAAAATCTGGTTTTACACTGTGTCTTTTTCTTTTTAGTTATAGAAAGTTTGAAGTGACAAATGAAATTTTTGGAATGCCAATAACAATTTTTAAAATACAAAGTGGATTAATACAAAGGTGATTTTACTTTCTTTATTTTTTAAAATGATCTTTATATACTTTAATTTTCAATTTATTTTCATAGTTGGTACCATCCTTGAATAGCCGCTGCAGCAAAATGCGTCTCTTTCTGAAGCAATTGCTCAAAAGCTACTTTAAGAAAGAATAAATGTTACAGGCATTTTCTCATGTTCCACATCAATTCGTACTCCAAAATAAGGGTTTTTTTTTTTTTTATCTTTCCATTATTAAAAAAAGGGACCCAGGGCTAGCAAAAGCCACACCAGTCCATTTTTTTGGAGGAAGAAAAATTTCAGCTTCTCTTTAATTATCATCGTATGATTCTTGAACGTTAGAAATCAAATTCAAGATTGGCCGTGTGAAATACAAGCATAAAATTGACGTTAACTATTGAATCATCCCGTGATGATTGTGTTTCATAATAAGGTTAAAGTGAGAGAACCTGCACAAGAGTACAACACAAAGATTAAAAATTATTCATGCAACACGCTCATAGGCGGACCACGACCGTTCCTGACAAGCACGTTCTTTTCCAACTTCTTGTTAAATTAGGTGAAATCGAGGATGACTGCATTAAACATTGTACTTAGCAAGCATTTAAGAAATTTGAATGCGCATTCATAAAAGAGCGTTATATCCAAACCACAATAAATTCAATTTCTTTCACAATCCAGAATTCCCCAGAGTGTATACGAGAAGCCCTAAAATTGGGTAGGCCCAGGTAAGCCCATTGCCAGGTGGCGCACAACCAAGTGATCTCCATCGAAGAGGATACTTTCCGGATTCACTTTACAGTGATTCTAAGATTTCTATATTTTAACCGTTCATCGTATATCGTGCGATTATTTTTCATCATGTATTATTTGTATTTAATTTTAAATAAAAAAGTCAAATAATTTATGATTGCAAGATACATGATGAATGGTTAAGATATAAGATCTCTAAAATTTCCACAATTTGGATCCAGATGGGATCCAAATCCATCTCCAGCTCCACACAGCCACAGGATCACATCGGAATTCCAGATTCCCACACAAGAAATTCGAAGTAAATTTATCAGAAGGCCACCATCCCATTAAAAATTAAAAATTTCTTGGACTGGTCCCAGTCCTTAGTCCCTAAACAGAGCTCTAGTTACGTAAAAGTTCAAACCTTTTCAGAAATACAGATTGAGAGAGAGAGAGAGAGAGAGAGAGAGAGAGGAGTGCCCTGGATGTCTCTGCTTCTCTATCTGATCCAAAGCTAGAGACTTGTTTGTTTCCCGGGAAAATTTGGATCACGGGAAGTGAAATCCGAGATGGTTTTGGCGGAGTACTTGAGGACAATCGATTGGGAGGAGGAAGCCTACCCAGCATATGAAGATTTCGCAATTCTTCCTTTGTTCGTCCTCTACTTCCCAACCGTCCGATTTTTTCTGGATAGATTCGTCTTTGAGGTACATAGATTTGTTTCGAGCAGCTAAAGTTTCGATCTTTTGTAGCTTACTCATGTGATTAATGTTGTTTATCCGAATTTTAGATCGTTAATGATGTTTTTAGGGTAATGTTGATTGACCCATGTGGGAAATGCACTTTTGTATGATGATTTGTGCTTGGATATCAGATTGGTTAACAGGATATGTTTTGTTGTTGTAAAGTGATTTGACTGGTTTTGGGGTCTTTAAGATTCAATGTTTGTTTGCCTTGTCTTTCATTTTCGTTTAGATCTTCTTTCGGCTTGTACTTTCTTTAAGCTATGAAGGGATGAGAAAGAAAACAACTTGGTTTACTTGGGGATTTTCGAGTAAGAAGCTCCGTTGATGTCGATTAAAGGTTAATGATTGAGTCAAAATTGTACCTGCCTTGTTTATTTAATGACATAAGATCAATGTAGTGTTAACATGTTTGCTTTCTTTATTAGTGCTGATGTTTTTATTTCCGAGAAGCAACTTAAACCCTTTTTTAGTAGTCTTCCTGAATATGACCGATTAGTTTGTATGGCCAGATGGATAAACATGAGGGTCTCGGTGTTGATTGTTGGAGTAAGATCACATAGGATCAGTTACGTTTCTCCATTTCTTTTGCACACTAGCTATGTTGTGCCGGTGAATGCTTTTGCTTAAAAATACAGATTTTCTTGATTATGCTCAAAGGGAGCTCTAGCTTTTTCCTAGCTATACTAAGCTATGTAAAATGTACAGCCTTATCTTCACCCAAGCTAAAGTTTTCGAGTTTAGTCCAGAGCAGCTTTTGTTTTCCATTTCTTTTCAGTTAAACATGTATTTAATTGTGAACATGACTGCTTTTCTTTCTCTTAAGATCTTTATTTGCTTAATGTTAGTTTATATCTGATATTGCAGAAATTGGGGAGGCGGTTAATTTTTGGAAGGGCATTCAGAAGTGGGATGTAAAAACTGATGAACAAAGGAAGAAGATTAGAAAATTCAAGGAGTCAGCATGGAAATGCATATATTTTCTTTCAGCAGAGTTTCTAGCCCTCTCTGTAACTTATGAAGAGCCTTGGTTTACTAATACAAAATACTTTTGGGTAGGACCAGGAGACCAGGTTTGGCCAGACCAAAAAATGAAGTAAGAGTTCTTAATTAGAATTTATGTCACGTTTCTGTTTGTTCAGATTAAGACAGACATATGTGATGGGAGTGTCAGTATTGTTCTCAATCATTGTTTGACTAATACGAAAAGTTGAGCTTTATCAAAGTCCATAAAATGTTACTTGTGAATTTCAGGTTGAAATTGAAGGGGGTTTATATGTATGCTGCTGGATTTTACACATACTCCATATTTGCTTTGATTTTCTGGGAAACAAGGCGTTCCGACTTTGGGGTGTCCATGGGCCATCATGTAGCAACTGTCATTCTCATTGTGCTGTCTTACATTTTCAGGTATGTTCTGATGGCATGAGTTTGTAGCTTTCTCATGTTCTTTTAGTCACAAAACCAACGAAGCAAGAATACTACAACCTAAAAAAGGTATGAAGGAGGGCTTATTTGAAGTAATAGCATAATACAAGCACTATGGGTATTCGGCTTAAAAAATCTAGGAAAACATAAAAGATATATTCACTATGTTTTACGATATATTTCATTCGGTCACTTTCTCCTGTTTCTTGCAGGTTTGCCCGCGTAGGTTCAGTTGTTTTAGCTCTTCATGATGCTAGTGATGTGTTTCTTGAGGTAGGGAAGATGTCCAAATACAGTGGTGCGGAAAGGACTGCTAGCTTTGCATTTATTCTTTTTGTATTGTCTTGGATCATACTGCGACTCATTTACTATCCATTCTGGGTCCTTTGGAGTACAAGGTTTGTCTAACTAGATGCCTAACTTATATTAAAGTGACATTTCATCTTCAATTTTTTTGATGAAAGAACAGACCTTAGTAGTTTTAAATGAAGCATCTGGTCTCTATGATTCCGTGCACGCTAAAACTTTCTATGTTGTATTATGTTTGCTTGCTTCTCTTTCTGGCAGCTACGAAGTTATCCTGACATTGGACAAGGAGAAACACTCTATAGATGGACCAATATACTACTATGTGTTCAATACTCTCCTATTCTGCTTACTTGTGCTTCACATTTTCTGGTGGGTGTTGATTTATCGGATGCTTGTTAAGCAAATCCAAGCAAGAGGCCAGCTTAGTGAGGATGTTCGGTCAGGTGAGTGAATTGTCGTATTTTTTTCGTGTTCTGTCAAAATACAATGTACATAATGTGATCACAAGGCACCAATGTATTTGCACCTGCATCCCTCTTTATTTAATTAGTTTAGCGTTGTACAATATTTTATTTGCAATGGTACAGTGTAAAGTCAGTCAATAATTTCCTTTTATGATCTGGTTCTCTTTTGATTATCCATCGTCTTAGTTTGTTGCCTGATCTTTGCTTTTCGTTTCTTTATCAATTTTCTCTGTACAGATTCTGAAGGTGAAGAAGATGATCACGAAGATTAAACGAGAAACAGAATTTACAGCCACACCGTGACCCTCAAGCAAAGGTACTCTTAAATTTTAGGGAATCCATTGGGATTCCACAAGAAAGAAACCACATTTTCATATTGCATTTTGTGCAGAATAATTTAAACCACATTTTCAAGTGGAATCGTTGTAATTATAGAATTTGAGGCAGCTGTTACGCTATTTTAGTAGCACACGCCAATACGAAAAGAAATGGGACAACTAAAAACTGCTGTCTGCTTTATTTCCCTTGCTAGTTAGACTGAGGAATGTAGTTTTCATTTTTCCTGCAGACGAGGAACATCTTACATTTACACCGTTGATGTATTCTTTTGATAGTGAAACAATTTTGGTGGAACAAGTGCGTCGTGATTGCAGGGATGGTATGTTAAGCGGGATACGATACGGAAGCAGGTTGAATGAATAGATTGGCAAGGGTACAGAAGTTTGATTCTGGCTCAGCTTTCGGTTCATTGCCTTCAATTTGAATCTGCTGGCATGATTGACATGCTAATGCAAGGAATTTGATGTGTAACTGGAACTGTAATAGTTGTACACTTTTTCGAGTCAGCTATAAGGTTCTTGTGAATACAATGGCTAATTTCTTTTCTAAACCATCCATGATTAACAGATTTTTTCGTTTTCTTCGAGTAATTAGGTCTCGAAAGCTATCTTTACAGTCTCTTAATCTCCGTTGTGATTTGCCACACGTTGTCTTTGTTTCTCGTGTTTATATTTAGATACGGCCCCTCTCTAGGGGGAATTCAGAACGCTAGAATCTTTCTTAGGAACAACTTCTACCCGCAGGAGCGCACTTCTGTTTTCCCTTTACTAGTAGGGGGTCCCGTGGTTCCTATGTCGTGGTGTTTCCGGTCCTTTCCTTTTGGCACTTCGACCCGAAGCTACCAGCGCCTGTCGGCAAGAACTAGGCTTGGTTAGTAGTGCCCGCCTATCCTGTCTTGTTCGCCTGCCGGCCCATGAATTCTTCAGATCGGACTGGCAGGCGAGGTGGATGGGGACTGTCGAAGAAGTGCCTCAACGTGGATCTTTTGCCTAAGATGCTTTTGTTCATGATTTTCATGTTTGGGTTATGCATGGAACAATAAGATATTTATCATCTTAGGTGGTTTTTGTTTTGAGTAGAAGTATATTCCAAACAAAAATTATAAATATACATTATTAAATATATAATTAATTTTATAACTCACTAACGCTATTGGTTTAATAAAAGAAAATTAATTCATTTTACTAATTGGTGATACTGCAGAAAGAACAATTGTATATTTCTTGGAGAATAAGATTCGTGCTTATATTTTGTACCAAAACGACATCGTTCCTTTTTCTTCTCTCTCTCCGCTCTTTTTGTTATCCTCAAAACCCCGTTGCGACGTCGTTTAAATCGTCTTCATCTCCGTCCTCGCTTCTGATAATTCCACATTTGATACGCCATGGAAGATGTACTGACTGAGATTCCGCCGCCATCGAGGTTCTTTCAGGAAGATCTAAACAACTTCACACCTCCGTCACCGCCCCTTCCCTCTCCCTTCCTCTTGTTCGCTCAAAATCCTAATGGAGCGGCCGCAGAGATGCCTCTCCGCCCCTCTCTCCTCATCGTTGCCCTATCCTCCCCATCCCTCCACCTCTTCCACAATGTGTCCTACAAAACCTTGATCAGAACCCTAATCCTCCCGGAAACCCCCTTCTCCGGCAACTCAATCGACCCCTCTCTCAAAGACAAGTCCTGCAACATCTACTCCCTCCCAAACCCCCAAACCCCTGAATCCCCAACCCTCCTCGTTTCCTTCCAGTGCCCGATCGCCGCCGAGAGATGCCACGCCGTGGCCAAGCTGCTCACTTCTCACCAGATCGCCCCCCAGAGGGTCCTGATTCTCGACTCGGTCCAGACCCTCAACTTCCGAGGCAAGCTTTCGAAGGACGAGGCGGCAGCGTTCAAGCTGGAGACCACCGCGGAAAGAAAGGCGCCGTCTTTGAAGCTGGAATATTTCGCGTCTGCCAGCGTCGTGGATGGGCTGGGCGCGGCGCTGTTGGCGGCGTGCGAAATCAAGAACATCAGGGCGGCGCTCTGCGTGACTTGGCCGCAACTCGGAGCTTTGGTGCTGTCCCTGATCAGGTCCCACATCTTCCCAGCCCTTGATTTGGAATTGAGCATTGATTCTGGTGGTGAGGATTATGTGATTTTAGGGCAAGATAAGGATCACCATCATCCTTTGGATTCCGATTTGTATACTTGACATGTTTATTGAGTCTACGCTTTCTTCGCTCATCTGCTTTTCTGGGTTCACACAAATTCTGAATTTTTTTTTTTTTTTTTCTGCAATTTGTATTGGTTGTGCGAATTTCATTTTTTCTGATATATAGATCAACCATTCAAGAACAACTATTAGCTTTATGTACATCTCGATGTGGTATTGGCACGGAACGCTACTGCAGGACCGGATTGTATTGTAGTGTCAACTCGTGTCATGCAAATTATTCTCACCAACCATATCCATAATTCATACACAAGTCTCCCCTCCAAAAGGTCCTCATTCTTGTTGCAAATTACATGTACGTATAGGTACGATCTGTTTATCGATTTAGGAGCTCTGAACTTGAGATCTCGATTATCAGAAAAGTATCATTAGATTAAGAGTTAATTGACGGCTTAGGTTCACATACGAACACATTACAAATTTGCAGATTCGGATTTATAGTATTTGAATACGTAAAGGTGAAACAAATCATATCCTAATCATTTGGATGGCGTGCTAAACCTAGTTTTTTTTTTTTTTTTTTTTTTTTTGGGAGAAAGCTAATCCTAGTTCTTTGCCCAAACAAATTGAAATTAGATTTTTCCAACCAAAACTTTAGTACAAAAAGATGAATGATTAAGACAAGATTACATACTTCACCGTTTAACCTAATCTAACAATGAACAGGTCCACGCCATACCAGAACGAGAGAAATAATCAAATCCTCAAATTTGAACTTTTTCTACAACAATCGATTTAATATACTCAATCTTTTTTCTTTTTCCTGAAGATGGTAAGCAGGAAACCTCAACTAGTAACACGACTTTTGTTACACTATTTGCAGTAGCATCACGTACTAATAAGGTTATACCGTTGAAACAAGGTATCACTGTGTAAGTGCCACGGTGACAATGTAACGGTGTCGTATAACTTGGAGTCTAATTACTGTTAAGAGTTCTGTAAAAGATAATAGGGAGTTTTAACGAAAAGTCCGCGGTACTATTCACTTTAACGAAAAACCACATTTTTACGCTAAAAAGTCAATCATTATTCACTTTATCCTTTATTTTGTCTTTATCGTTAAAACTCAAAGTTTTTAAATTTTTTTCATTAATTTTCCTAAAATAAAAGGTAAAAGGTAAAAGGGGTGAACGTTAGCTGTTATTAGGCTCTGTTTGTTGGGAAAAGCATGCGCTTTTGACTCTTGTTTGGAACTCCTGGTTCGAGAATACCCACCAAACGGGCCAAATATTAGTTGCATCCTCTATTGACCCCGAAGTGTTAACCCCAAATACTCAAAAGTCAAAACTCCCCATGCAACATGCAATGCAAACATTTTCTTGCATTTTTCACTTATATATGTATCTCTCAGTCCCAACCATCTCTCCGACTCTCTTCAATCCTCCAAGAAAGCCCTCGATCGCGACCGAAAATGGCTCCTTTTTCCCTTTGCTTTCGGCCCTTCGTTATGCAACTCTTGCTGCTAGGTTTCGCCATTTTGAGCAACGGCTTGCGCACAGGTGACCCTCCGTTAACGTTGGACTACTACGTATCTGCATGTCCGACTGTGTTTGAGATTGTGAAGAAAGAAATGGAATGTTTAGTGCTCTCTGATCCTCGTAACGCCGCCTTGGTGGTTCGATTGCATTTCCACGACTGTTTTGTTCAGGTTCCCATTTTTAAAGACTACTTGATCACCATTGTTTAGTTTCAAGATTTTGCAGAATTTTTAAAATTTAAGAATCCCATTTGAGTTCTTGGATTGTGTAAATAGGGATGTGATGGATCGGTTCTGCTAGAGGACACGATCACGCTGACAGGTGAGAAGAAAGCTTCCCCCAACATACACTCTTTAAAAGGTTTCAGAATTGTTGATAGAATCAAGAACAAGCTCGAATCCGAGTGCCCGGGAATCGTTTCATGCGCTGATCTTCTCACTATTGCTGCAAGAGATGCTGTCATTCTGGTACAAATTAGAATACAAACCTCTAACATATGTGTATAAAGTTTTCTTCAAAAACAGAGTTTTTATCTTTCATTCATTGTTCGTTTTTTTGACAACTATAACCTACATTTTAATTTGGGTAGCACAGATGGATCAAACTTGTTACAGAGGCGAGCATATTGTCTTGACCGTCTAACTCACGTTCTAATCCACAACTGCTTCTTTCATTATTTTTTACTTTGTAAGTTGGCTAACACATTACTTGGCCAACTCGCCTAACCCACACTTGCTTCGTTATTGTTGTTAACTTTGGAGGTGGGTGGACCTTATTGGGATGTTCCTCTAGGAAGAAAAGATTCTATAACTGCTAGCCCTGAACTTGCAGAGGCTAACCTTCCTACTGCAAATGAAGGCCTTTCGACAATCATCTCCAAATTTCTTTACCAAGGCTTATCAGTCACAGATATGGTGGCTCTTTCAGGTACTTAAAAAATATCCAAATTTATTGCATGCGACCGTCACATGTGACCTTCCTCTCACATATGTACGTGGGACTTGAACACATGTGAGCATCACACCCGTTCAAAAACACGTGTATTTGCACGTGAGCTATTGATGCTAGCTAAATCTTTTGTATGCACAGTAACAAAAATGTGGATCATTTTGTGTGTGACCGATCTTTTCAGGGGCTCACACAATCGGCATGGCGCGGTGTGAGAACGTAAGAGAAAGGATTTATAGCGGGGAATTCGAAGCAACTTCAGGAATCAATCCGCTGTCGGAGTCGTACCTCAACAACCTGAGATCGACGTGCCCGCCAGTTGGTGGAGTTGGGGATAATAACGTAACCGCCATGGATTACGTGACTCCCGAACTCTTTGATAATTCTTTCTATCATCTGCTACTGAAAGGGGAGGGATTGCTGAACTCGGATCAGGAAATGTACTCTAGTTTGTTTGGGATCGAAACGGGGGAGATTGTGAGGAAGTATGCAGCTGATCCAGTTGCTTTCTTCGAGCAGTTTTCGGAGTCGATGGTGAAGTTGGGAAATATTACCAATGATGAAAGCTTTGAGAATGGTGAAGTTAGAAAAAATTGCAGGTTTGTCAACACTTAAGAGCTGCAATTAGTCCTCATGAGAGAAGCCTCAGTTGGAAAACCATATTTGGTACTTTTATACCAAGAAGTGATCACAAATTTACATGTATTTTTATGTTTGTAAGTCAATGGAGAGTGATGTTTTATTGTGCCAAGTAAGAGGTCATGACAGAAATACAAAAAACAATACTCTCTAGGCCGAAAATTTTGAGTTTTAATTTGTTTGAAAGCGTTTTTAGAGAAAATGTTTTTGAATTCAGAAGCAATTGAAGTGTTTTCTAGAAGAAGCACTTGAAGTGCTTCCTTGAAGAAGCACTTGTTAAGTGCTTCTTGCATGAAGTACTTCAAGTATTTTTATAAGTTTCACTTGCATTTTTACAAAAAATTAGTCCAGAAAAATTTCACTTGCATTTTTACTAATGATTAATCCAGGAAGTGAGGGATGATATCATGTAGAAAACCTTCCACTGGTAAATATGATTGTAGTTTGTAGAAAGCCTCAGCCTTCATTCATTCATTGAGAACGTATAAATACATTTGATTACAAAGAGTCCTATTCGGATACAAGGTATTCCCTTCTATATCTCAAATACGAGATGACATACATCAATATGGTTTGGTTAGAGGTGACGAATTGGATTGTGACAAGGACTCTTGTTTAACAGGTCCCAATACTATTTTTACTAAAAACACTTTCATTCATTTTAAAAGCATTTTTAAACAAACTCTTATTTGGTGGGTTAGAAGCTTTTGAGTCCTCACATATGACTCGTCTATTGAGTTTAATTCCTATAAAATGTGTAACGGTAGTATCTATTAAACTCGCTTCATTGCATCAACAATATTTTTAGTCAAACTCAGATAGTCCAATTTTTAATTTTTTATATATGAGAATCAAACTCACACAAAGCGTTGTCGGAAGGCTAAATATGGATCACGAGTCACGCCATATTTAACCTAGCTAAAAATTAACGAATGATCATAAGATCCATGAAAGCTAAAAATTAAATGCAATATATGGATACCAATTCAAGCAACCAGAAATCGATGTGTTACAGTTAAGAGGAGAATTTATAGACCGGATTAAAAGAAAAATGGAAGTGCGAATGAGACTTTCTCAAAATAATTAATTAATGAAAAATAAAACGACTACTTGACCCTGTTAGACTTTTGTTACGTAATGGTAAGTACAAATTCATGCAATTTCCATACTTTGGAAATTTCACACTCCAATAACATGCAAGTATCAACAGCTACCAAACCAAATGCCAATGTCAGTCTACAAGGTAGAAAATAAAATTATAACTCGGTGCTGAACAACTAAGTTTGACCAAGAAATGTTGGGTAGCGTGTTTGCTTTTGTATTTTGAAGGTTGAAACAAAGGAACTTGTCAACATGCTCGCAGCAGCTACCTGGAAAACGAGGAAAAGAAAGATCTTCGATCTACCGCCCACGTCATCCAGTGGGCTCAAGGTTTTTATACTGGGCAAATTGTGGAAGACATCAAGTCGTTCATTCCATCAGTCACTGAATTGTCTTTTACCTATATCTGCTGTCAAGCCAATGGTGTGGCTCACAGGCTTGCTCGTTTTGGCCTCTCTGCGGAGCACTTTTGTGAGTGGTTGGAGTACCCTCCTAGCATTATCATTGATGAGCTCGTTGAGGATTGTTCCTCACCCTAAAGGGCTCTTTTTGTATTGTTTCCCATCGTTTCCCTAAAAGAAAGGATTTTATTATATATTAATGCATATCTAGAATTTCACAATGGGTTAGAAATAATGTGGTTTAAATTCATATTTGGGGAAAATTGAACCGAATACCTCTCACTTACAAATTATAAGGGTTTTTTTATTTTTTATTTTTTATACAAAGATGGATTTTACCATTTGGTCAAAACAAACATGAACCTCTAAAGAGAAAAAAAAAATGAAATTTGCTATTAACACCTCATGTGGTTTATCGAATTTTTACAAAACTCCCTCACATTTAAAACATTATACTAACATCTGCTCAAGTTTTAATTCACTTTCCCATAACCCCTGGAGCCAAAATTCTATTAATAAATTAACAACTTTACCCTTATATCTAATTACTTAAACAACAAAGAAATATATTAGAAATAAAAAATAAAAAATTAAACATTCAAAGAGTAATTATAATATTAGCACCTCCATGAGAGGGATTTTGTGAAAACTCAACATACCTCACAGAAGGTTTTCACAAAATTGTTCATATACATTACAATTACCCTTTGAATTGGTCAAGTAAGAAAAAAAAAAGCCCTTTATAGGGTCATAGGTAGTTGACAAAGATTATTTGTTTATCTACAAGATTCAAACCTATGTCATCCTTAATAGTTAATTTGGTCTTCTAATCTTTTTCTTTTTCTTTGTTTTTCTTATGATTTTCTTCACACCCTTGAAAATTGTTGCTTGTTTTCTGTAGTGATTTGTACTTTATTAGGAAAGGGAAAGAATACATATTGATGTTTACCCAAAAAAAAAAAAAAAAACATATTGATTGGATGATTTGTTGCTTGCGAAAGTATCCAAAAGACCATATGCCCCATCATTGACAAACAAGTAAATTGAAACAAGTATCAATTGGTGGCTTGGATCCCCCGGGCCCTTTCTGTCATTTTCACTTTTTTAGTCAGTGGATGAGAATGTGAATTATAAATTTGGTCAAAACAAACATGAACCTCTAAAAAAAAAATTAAAAAAATATCTGATCATATTTCACACAATTCAAATTTGAGGAAAAAAAAATGAAAATTACTATTAACACCTCATGAGGTTTATTGAGTTTTCACAAAACCCCATCATGTTTAAGACATTACACTAACACCCGCTTAAGTTTTAATTCACTTTTACATAACCCCTTGAGTCAAAATTCTGCTAATAAATTAACAACTTTACCCTTATATCTAATTACTTAAAAAAATAAAGAAATATATTAGAAAAAAATTAAAAAAAATAAATATTCAAAGAGTAATTATAATATTGACACCTTCATGAGAGGTGTTTTGCGAAAACTCAATATATCTCGTAGAAGGTTTTCTACAAAATTGTTCATATTCATTACAATTACCCCTTGAATTGGTCAAGTAAGAAAAAATAAAGACCACTTTATAGGGTCATAGGTAGTTGACAAAGATTATTTGTTTATCCACAAGAATCAAATCCTATGTCATCCTTAATAGTTAATTTGGTTTTCTAATCTTTTTCTTTTTCTTTGTTTTTCTTATGATTTTCTTCACACCCTTGAAAATTGTTCCTTGCTTTCTGTAGTGATTTGTACTTTATTAGGAAAGGGAAAGAATACATGATGATGCTTTGGTGCTTGGCAAAGTATCCGAAAGACCATATGCCCCATCATTGACTAACAAGCAAATTGAAACAAGTATCAATTGGTGGCTTGGATCCCCCGGGCCCTTTCTGTCATTTTCACTTTTTTTTCTTTATTTATATCTTTTAGTCAGCGGATGAGAATGTGAATTATAAATTTAAAGAGCTCTCACTTTTTAGAATATGTTCTAATCTGCCATTATTCCAATTCCCTGGAATATTTGAATTTTTGGTACTTTTAATCTCAACCTTCTCAAGTTTATCATCATAATCTGATAAAGTATTGGGATTGATCATGAGAATATGTATTCAATTTTGCAATAAAGTTATTTGAATTTTACGTTATAAATCACACTTTAACACAAATAATGCGTTATCATTTCAATTCTAAATCAGCAAAAGAAAAGAAAAAAAAACTAATGTGCCAAAATCACTTTCCTACAATAAATTAAAAATCTGTCGAGCAAATCAAAACTAACCATGTGCGGTAGTGCTAGCCATGTTACGCTAGTACAAAGTTGTTCTTCATAGGTCAAATGCATGGGCCATGGGCTGGTAAATAGGTTGTGTTTGTTGTGTTCATGTTATATTTGTTATTTTAATAGATTATGTCGTGTCAAACTCTTTGTTTTAATAGGTTCTTAACAGGTGATTTGATAACGACCCGATTTGTTAACAAGTCGTGTCGTGCCGTTTCATGTCAGGTTAACAAGTCATGCAAGAAATGATCATGCCTAATATTTAAATCTAACAAATGATAACGGCCGACTCTTTAATTGTTCTTAACGGGTGATCCAATAAGAATATAACTCATTAACAGGTTGGCCCAAATCCTATTACTTTCATGTTGTTTGTGTCAGGTTAATATGTCATGAAATAAATTGTCAGGTTCCATGCCTATGACTGACAATTATAGAACAAATTCAAATGCAATGGGTCCCATTTTAACACTTTTTCCGTGTAAATTTGGAGCTGCATATATAATCAATTAATTAACTAAAATGGCATTTTACATAATTAGCCTGGAATTCATCCCCTTTGGGAAGACGATGTAAATGAATATATGATTGTCTTCATACATTTTGAGAAGTACTTCTCAGATTGCGGGAAGCTGTGGGAATTTGCCAACTATGGAAAGGGGTCTAAGTAGGAACAAAACTATAGTTCTTGCCTAACCAAACATGCTAAACATGTAGCACCAATTGTACACCACACAATCATATGAATCTTTGACTGAAATTTGGAAAAAGTACAAAAAAGAAACAAAATGTTAGGATTTTGGGTCACTATTATTCCTAAGTTTCAGTTATTTATAATTGGATCCAACGTATATTAAGAAACGGAAAACGACCGTTACTTGGTGTTAAAATATAGGTTAAAACAAATAGTTTTGGGTTCTTTTGCATCTAAAGGAAAGTTTGTGCTGAAGAACATAAGTTATATGTTAGTGTTATTCACGTTTCTTTCTTGATTAAAAGAACAAAAAAAAAAAAAAATATTCAACAATTTATCCCGTGTTGTAGTGCATGTTAAAGAATACAGACTAAATGATAGTGTTGTTCACGTTTATGCCTCAATTAATACAACCAAATAAATAGAAAACAACAGTTTTCTCGTGTCTCATTGCATGTTAAAACTGATACAACAATTCTGTCGTGTATGAATGCATGTTAAAACTAATAGTTTTGTATTCTTTCGTGCTTAGAGTAAAGCTTGTGTTAAAGAATACAAACTAAATGTTAGTGCTATTCTCGTTTCTCCCTCGATTAATATAATCAGAAACGTAAAACAACAGTTATCTTGTGTCTCACTGCATGTTAAAACTTATACAACAAGTATCTCGTGAATCAATATATGTCTAAAACTGATAGTTGTATGTTCTTTCAGTGCTATTCACATTTCTCTCTTGATTAACAATACTAGAAAACAGAAAACAACAGTTATCTCGCATCACAATCCATGTTAAAAATGATAGTTTTTGTGTTCTTTTGCATCTAAAATAAACTCTGTGTTAAAGAATACAAACTAAACGTTAGTGTCTTTTACGTTTTTTGCCTCCATTCACAGAACAACAAACAAACAAAAACAACAATTATCCCGTGTCTCAGTGGATGCTAAAACTAATAGTTTCGTGTTCTTTTTGCATCTACAGAAAATTTTGAACTAAAATTTCGAACCAAAATGTTAAGGTTAATCATGCTTCTCCCTTAATTTAAAAATAATAATAATTAGGATACGATCATATCTCATGTCAAAAAACACATGTTGGACGAAGAGTCCCGTTATCCCTCTGTCAAATAGATGTAAAAACAATTCGTTTGAGAGGTTTGCCTAAATGTCTTTTCACCCCATAAACCTTCATGATATTTCCAACCTTACTCTGGTTTAATTTAAAGAAAACCAATGAAAATGATTTAAAAATTTTGAGTTTTAATCATAAGGACAAAATAAATGATAAGGTGAATAGTATCAGGATTGATTTTTTAGTGTAAAAATATGATTTTTTGTTAAAATTAACAGTATCGAAAGTTTTTCGTTAAAATTCCTTTAATTTAATGTGGTTTAGGAGGACTTGAATTCTTTGAATTAAACATCACCAATATTTAATTAAACAAGAAATCGAAATTAATATGTTTTATAATTCTGTTTAAATAAGCAAATGAAATTGAAGTATAAAATACCTTCTCCTCTCTCCGTCTCTTGTTAGACTGCTCTCTTTCTCTCCTCGATAGTTTGCAGTTTCTCAAGAACTCCAGAGGGATTTTCCCTCTATTTCCAGGAAGGAAAATATCAACGATGCCTTAAATATTGCTGCAAAGCAGAGACCGACCTCGATAGCGTGGCCAGGCTCCTTCTGAGTATTTGTTGCTGAACTCACTTCGACTCATTGCCAAATAAAAGTGAGTCGGTCACTGCTCCCATCACCACAAGCACACACATTGGTTTTCGTTTTGATCGGCACTGCCATTGGAATTTTGACTCAACAAATATTGGGTTTTGCTTCTTTTGCCATTGAAATTTGTGGGTAATCGTTTGTTTGTTTTATGATTCGTGCTTTATTGCAGCGGTTTGCTCTGGCAATCCTTGTTAGATCCACAGGGTGTGTATGAACAGATTCTTGAGCCTGTTTTGTGATGATTTTGTTTTCTGGGCATGTTTTGTTTGGGATTCTGTTATGCGGGTGATCCTTAATTTAAGCTTTTGTAATGGTGGATGTTGTTTGGATCCTGTGTTTTTCAGGAGAGTGCAAAAAAATGATCTTTGTGTTTAAAGTTTGAGTTTTTGCTTATGAGAGTTTTGGTGTAGTTCTTAAAATTCATGTAGTATGCCTTGTTCATTGGAGTCTTCAGTTCCTATGGTTACATCCCACAACAAGGAATATTGTGGTTGTAGCAAGTTTAACAAAATCTTCAACAATAGTATTAGGCATAATGTTGTCAAATTCTTGGTTCTAAGACTCACTGCAGTAATTCTCACTATACGAATAGCCGTGTGATGCAGACTTTTATCAGTGCCTTCTTGGTTCATTAATTAGAGGCATTCAAAACCCTGAGTTCCTTCAAACGTCTCTTGGTGCAAGTCACATCTTGCTAATGCTTAATTATTGCAATTCCTTAACTTTCATATGCCTTTTTCAATATCTAATTACATCTGAAGTGCCAACACAATCGGCATCCATGTGTGCGTCCACATGTGCATGTTACACCTCTTTAAGTAACTAGAAGAAGAGGCATTCTAGTTATGAAGAAGATTGTGGTGGTCACCTGCGATTGGAATTGTTACACTTTGCCTCTTAAGCTTGCACAATGCACACTTGAGTTCTTTAGTTTTCTCATTTTTGTCAATTGTATATCTCTTTACCTTTCTTTTTCCTTTTGCCAACTAGAGAAAGCCAACATAAAAGAAATGGCTCAAGATATGTCTGGTGCTGATTCACACCAAAGACGGCAAGGCCTTTTAAAAGATCAAGTTCGATTGGTTAAGAGAAAGGATTCTTCTCATTACGAGATTGCACCAATCCAAAGTCCTTTGTCATTTGAGAAGGGTTTCTTTATATTAATCCGTGCATGCCAGTTGTTGGCTCAAAAGAATGAAGGAATAGTATTGGTAGGAGTTGCTGGTCCTTCTGGGGCTGGAAAGACTATATTTACAGAAAAGATAGTCAACTTTATGCCCAGCGTTGCTGTCATATCAATGGACAACTACAATGATGCCAGTCGGATTGTCGATGGCAACTTTGATGGTAAATCATTACCTCACTTAGTTTTCTCTTGTTTTGAAGCTTTAATATATATGTTTTCTCAGGAAGTACAACAATAGACACATACTTATGGTGCACAATGTTTTTGGTTATATAATTATTAGTGTTTCTTCTTATATTTGTATATAAAACAGATCCACGCTTGACAGACTACGACACATTGCTCCAGAATGTCAATGATTTAAAAGCAGGGAAACCGGTTGAGGTTCCAGTTTATGACTTCAAGTCTAGTTCCCGCACAGGATACCGGTTGAATACCTATCCTGCATAAATTAGCATATCCTTGGATTTCTTTGACAAAGCTTTTGAATTATAGTATCATAGGGAAGATATGTCTTTTCATTTGTAACTCTTTGTTTTCAATTGCAAGTATTGTGTGGTGATGTTCTGATTGTTTAATTGTTGGTCATGGATGTAGTGAATTGTGAATACTTTTGTGCTTATTGTATGTGGGAATAAGAAACAACCATCTTAAGAAGATATCACTTTTCGTTTGGAGAATCATACCCTATATGTATTTTAGTTTAGAGCCTTTCTATGCTTCCTGTTGAAAACTTGAATTTTCGTTTTGGCCCTTTGTTTCATAAGTCAGGCCATTTTTTTATATTTTTTTGAATAACTGTTGGTTAATTTTATAATTAATAAATTTCTAGTTTTTATGGTCTATAACTTCACCTTTCATGCTTCCAGGGTGCTTTGGATGGTACCTTGGTAGAATTATTCATAAACGAGATTGTAGTTTGTACAACTTATCATATTTTTTTTTGGTGTAGCTTAAATCTTATATTGTAGAATTTACTGGTGACAGGACAGTTGAAGTCCCAAGCTCCCGTATTGTGATCATTGAGGGCATCTATGCTTTGAGTGAAAAGTTGCGACGTTATCTGGATCTACGAGTATCAGTCACAGGCGGTGTTCACTTTGACCTTGTCAAAAGGGTTTTACGGGACATACAAAGAGCTGGCCAAGAACCAGAAGAAATAATACATCAAATATCTGAAACTGTACTTTTCTAACCCTCCTTTATATCATCAAGCACTTGATAAGTTGATGCTTTTCCAGAAGTCTGAACTCTTTTGTCTACAGGTATATCCAATGTACAAGGCATTTATTGAGCCAGACCTTCAAACAGCACATATAAAAATTATCAACAAATTTAACCCATTTACTGGATTTCAGAGTCCCACTTACATTTTGAAGGTTAATATCCTTTCCTTTTCCAATTATTCTGTTGCGTTGATATTAGTTTCTAACCTTAAATTTTTTCATCTTCATTGAAATTGACAATTGAGTGTTTCCTTTTATTGCAGTCAGCAAAGAACTTGTCTGCGGATCAAATTAAGGCTGTGTTTTCTGAAGATCACACAGAAGCAAAGGAGGAGACGTATGATATATACCTTCTACCACCTGGTGAAGATCTCGAAGCTTGCCAATCATATCTGAGGATGCGGGATAAAGATGGGAAATATAGTCTAATGTTTGAGGTTTGCCTTCAAAACTTGTTTCTGTATTTTGTTTGAGATGTGACAGATTGTATAGGACTTAGGATTAAATTTGAATTTAGCTGAAATGTCAAAAGAGTCCCAAGCACTAGTGAGTTGTGACTTCAGAAAATGTCTTTGCATAGACTTACATAATCAGACAGTGTACTGCATATTTCAGGAATGGGTGACAGATAATCCATTTGTTATATCACCAAGAATAACTTTTGAGGTCAGCGTGCGTCTTCTTGGTGGACTAATGGCCTTGGGTTACACCATTGCAACTATCCTTAAAAGGAGCAGCCATGTATTCTCCAACGATGGAGTGTGTGTAAAAATTGATTGGTTAGAGCAACTAAATCGTCGATATATTCAGGTACTGGTATTTTCTGTTTAGTGTTTACTGAAGTTAAAACCACTTAATGCTTAGGTGCTTCATGAATTTTGTATGTCCTTCAATATGGACGCTTGCTCATCTCATTTTTTTCTCTTGATTGCATGGATGAATGAATGATTATGGGCTGATTAAATGGATACCTTATTGTTCTTCTTTTGTACATTTCTGACCGCATCCGTTATTGTTCATTTTTTTTATTTTTAAAACTCTTATTTGTAGTTTATTTGGTAACTCATGTATATCTAAGTTTCTCTGCTTATTGACCAAAAGGTGCAAGGAAAAGATCGGGTAGTTGTAAGGTGTGTTGCCGAGCAGCTTGGCTTGGAAGGTTCATACATTCCTCGTACATACATTGAACAGATTCAACTGGAAAAGCTTGTCAATGAGGTCATGGTATGATAACTACATCTTATCCTCTCTGTGTACTGAGTATCCGGCTGTGATAAAACTTCAAATTGTATAATGCCTTATCTTCCATCTGTATTCCTGATCTGATCATCTTGCAGGCTTTGCCAGATGATTTGAAGACGAGGCTTAGCCTAGATGAGGACCTTGTTTCAAGCCCTAAAGAAGCACTTTCCAGAGCCTCTGCAGATAGAGTTGCCATGAGAATTAAGAATCTCAAGAGGTATGATTCTTTTGTAATCCATGTCTAGTTTAGTTCTTTGTGCAACTCGGAGTTTAGATGTGTGGCCAATGCACCATAGTGAGCGCATAGAAAGCCGAATCTGGCTGGTTCTTGCGTTTGAGATTTGCCATCTGAGAATTGGGTCTATATTTTGTTCTATCCATATAACATTGTTCTCAACTGACGTAGCAAAGCATTTATCTCAACTGTTCAGAAGGACATCATTAAGCATAAACTCTGCCTTTTTGTTCATTTTCAATTCGAATGTTGCTGGCTGCCTTAAACTGAATGTGACCTGATTTCATTTGACAGTGGTATGTCGCAGTCATATACAAGCCAACGGGACAAAAGTACATCTAAGCTTACCGGGTATTCTTCCAGCAGTCAAGGGTTTGATGAGAGAAATACAGAGTCATCAGCAACGCTAGCAAGCCAGGTAGAGTAACGCTTCTTAGTTCATATCTGCAATTGGCAATTGGAGCCCCAGCAAGTAAATATAATCACTCATCATCATTGCTTTTTCCTTCTCATTGCTATCGCAGGGAGTAGCTACTCAGCTTTCAGAACAAATGTCTTCGCTGAATGATAGAATGGATGACTTTACAAATCGAATCGAAGAGCTGAATTCCAAGCTGACCATGAAGAACTCTCCTAGCCAACAAAACATGGCTCTTCAAGCTGAAAACTGCAATGGCTCTGTTCCCACGTCTTATTTCATGTCTGGCTTAGGCAACGGTTCGTTAACTGGGGCGATAATGCCTAATTCCTCCTCTTCCTCACAGGTGACTAAGGAGTCTTCAGTAGTGGAAGAGGTACTTTCATACTCATTTACCTCCTATCGAAATTCAGGCAGTTCATAATTCTGAGGATTAACAAATAACAACACGCGTATAAAGTAGTAATGAAGCACATGATGATAATTTTTCCTTCTTGACTGGTTCATTTATCTTCTTATTTCGCCTCCTCATTTGTCCTCGGTATTCTATCAGATGTCAAGCGTTGCACGGGGACAACGTCAAATCATGCATCAGTTAGACAATCTCAGCAATCTTCTCCGGGATAGTATGGGAGAGAGACCTCGTCCGGTAAAAACTAACAGCAGGAAGAACATCGTAGCCCAACCCGAACCCTTGACAGTTCCTCTTGCAGCAACGCTTGCCGTTGGCGTTCTAGGAGTGATCATATACAAGGGTATCCTAACTAGGAACTGATGCTGTTTCAAAATTTTATCAGACTCATCAACTTTCACTTTAATTTGCTTAACCTCGTTTTGGTCCCTCTTATGTTTGTTGCGGTTCTACCCTTCTGGTCGGGAGAGACAACATATAGAGATGCTAAGCATAAGCTATCTAGCTTTCTGATCTCTGAGACTGAGAGTTTGTAGAGAAGGGTGCCTTGGCAATTTTGAAGTTTTGTGGGGCTATTTTGAAATTTGCTAATTTTAACATATCCAAAGGCAGATATTGAAATTGAGAAATTTCACAGTTAATGATCAATCTCAGTGTTTAACTTTCGTCTTTTACTTTTAGTGTAGGTAATATTGTATGTTCAACAGAAGAAAAAAAAATTGTCCTATACAATTATTAATAAATTCTTTTTAGCTTTAGATCCCGTTCCAATTTCGACTTGTGGAATTAATTATTGACATTTCAAAACAAAATACCATGGACAATTTTGTTCTTCGTATATTTATGAGTGCATTAAAACTCAATCCATTCTTGATATGTGAGAAACTCTTCAATTTGGTCACTCGCATTAAAATTGAAAAACTGTTACCATCACTTTTCATTAAAGAATTTGATTCCTTTACCAATGACATGCGTGATTATCACACATCTAATTATATGTCACGAGAAATCAAATATGACAGGTGATTTTTATTTTTATTTTTCACACTATTTTTTTAATCATCCCAAATTAAATAAATCAAATGTAAATTACGTCATATCAAATATGTGAAAAATAATGTAAACTCTTCATGTACTATTTGAGAACGTGAGTTTTCCTGAGATGCTGACTTCTAAAAATTGGAAAGAATCCATTATGGATCCCTTCCTCTTAATCCATTAAGTTCGGGATAATGGTTAAAGTTATTATAACTTTTAAAATGGATTCTTGCTTGTAACCGTTGAATCAAATTTCAATCCCTAAACTTGGTGGACTAAGAGGAAAAAATCATGTAAAACCCAAAATAATAAAAAGGAAAACACGACAAAAAAAAAAAAAAAAAAAAAAAAAACTCGAACAGCAACTGGGCAACTAGCCGCGGATTTCTGTGCACGCTGATAGAAAAGGAACTTGGAAATGAGAAATGATCCGAGCTCGAAACTCCAAAGTCTAAACTGAATCCGCAGATACATACACTCCAAACGTCGATTCTCGACGCAGAGAAAGTAAAAAGATGAAGGAAAATTTGACATTTTTGAAAAGATAACAGAGCTCTCTCCTTCATATCCTTCTCCCCAGGTATCTGACACTTCTCCTTTTCTTATATGTTCATGTATTTTCTCATATAAAATGGTTTTTTTTTCCCCTTGTGTGAATTGCTTTCATTATTTTTCTGTTCCAAAGATCTGATCCGTGACTTTATTGGGTTTGTTTGGATTTTTGAGAAATTTGATTGATTGGTTTGGTTTGGTTTGATGGAAATTGACAAGGAAAAAAAGCCACAGAAAGCAATGTTCTTTGTCGATTTGCTTTATGAACGCTGATTAAATTAACTCTAATGGTGAAAATCTGTAAATTTCAGAGTTGATTTTTTTTTTTTAATTTTTCCTGTTCTGTTCTTCGTTAGCAAATCGAACGTACGCCGGAAATTCGTGGGTTTTGCTCAAGTTTTGATCTTGTTGTGAACATTTGGAGCTTAAGGTGAATAATTTATTGTGGCATTTTAGTTTCTGTAAAGCCCTTCAATTACTGACTGGTTTTGTCACATTGCTTTGTAGTCGGTTGAGTTCAAATATACGAATGGGAGATTTTTCGGGTTGTGATTTGATAAGCAATTTGCCTCAGAGCATTATAGAGAGCATTCTTACGCGTCTCCCGATCAGAGACGCTGTAAGAACTAGCTGCTTATCAAGGAAGTGGAGATACAAATGGACTACCATCACTCATCTTTCGTTCGATGAAAAATGTGTCACTCTATCCAATGACCGAGCTCTTGTTGAGAAAAGCCTCATAGATTTTGTTACTCGAGCTCTCTTTCTTCACCAAGGACCCATTCACAAGTTCCAGCTTTCGACTTCTTATTTGCAGAGTTGCTCGGATATTGATCAATGGATACTTTTCCTTTCGAGGAACGATATCAAAGAGTTGGTTCTTGAGTTGGGAGAAGGTGAGTGGTTTAGGGTGCCTTCGTGCCTTTTTTACTGTAAAAAGTTGACCCGTCTGGAGCTATTTCGCTGCGAGTTGGATCCGCCTCCTTCTTTTAAAGGATTTTTGTGTTTGAAGAGCCTCAATCTTCATCAGGTTTTGGTTACTCCTGATGCAATCGAAAGTCTTATTTCCAGTTGCCCTCTACTTGAGAGTCTGGCTTTGTCGTACTTCGATAGCTTAGCTCTAAACATCCGCGCTCCAAATCTCAAATACTTGTGTCTTGAAGGCGAATTTAAGGATATCTGTCTTGAAAATACTCCGCTTTTGGTTGCCATGTCTGTTGCTATGTATATGACTGATGACATTGCTGAGCACTTTGAGCAAAGTTCAAATTGCAATTTTATCAAGTTTCTTGGTGGCATTCCACTTCTTGAGAGGCTTGTTGGGCATATCTACTTTACGAAGGTAATATTTTCAGATGCTTTCGTTTTGTTAATTCTTCCTTTCTTTTAATCTCGAGTAGCAGTAGCACATATACGTTTCTGACATTGATACATTATTTTGTTTATTTCCTTGTTTCAAGTATTTGAGTATAGGTAATGACCTAGGAATTCTTCCGATTACTTACAATCGTTTAAAGATTATCGAATTATATCAAGTAAGTTTCGAAGATATGAATGAGATACTAGTTGTTCTTCGCTTGATTACGAGCGCTCCCAACTTAAGGGAACTTCAAATCTCGGTAAGTTATTGTGAACATGTTGAAGGGTTACCCCTCTTTCTTCTTTTGCTGACCTTTCTATTATTAGTTTTACATTTCTGCTAATAGTAAGGATTACTGCCACCATAGGGATCTTCAAATGCTTTAGCAGCAATAGAAGCGTCCGACTTGGATTTCTGGGAGAAACAATGCCCTTCCGACTGCACATTCCGAAGGCTTAAAGTTGTGAAGATGACAGATATGTCTGGAGTGCCACATGAAATGGAATTCATCAAGTTTTTGTTGAAGAAATCGCCCGTGCTTGAGATGATGAGTATCACGCCTTGCGCGTATGGTTTGGAAGGGCGGATGAAGATGTTGATTGAGTTGGTGAGGTTTAAACGGGCATCTCCAGAAGCAGAAGTTATCTTCATCCAAGATTAGGTTGGAGTCGAATTGTTTGTTTGAGAGAGCTGGCCTTTCAATTGTGTTGTTCTTGACAAATGACAATTTATTGATATTTTTGTCTACAAAATTAGATGATCAAATGGAATTTTTTTACAGGGATTCCCTTAAAATTTAAGGCACTGCCGTCAACTGCCGTGGTTGGTAAGATGCAGCAAGCACCAAACAGATAACTTAAATGTAAACAGAGGCGTTATCATCATATAAACATTGCACCGTGTTAATACAATGAGTCATATTTCTATGCTGCGGCAGAGATTCCCAAACACACCCGAGACTGATCAGCATACTAGCTCCGAGCAGAGTTGAGACTTGATATTTCAGTCAAATATGGAACTACAATCAGTTCAACGACGCTCAGTTGGATGGAGTCTCTCTTTAGAAGCAGAGTATTTATGGGCAGTTCACAAGAGGGTGTAGAATTACTTGCACTCCATGTTGCGGGCGAAGCGTGAGGAACTGAAAGGGAGAGTGGACATAAGCAGGGGAAAGAGTGGAGCTGTTGCGTTGTAAAATCATCGACAGAACAATCTTCACTTCAGTGGTTGCAAAGTTCATGCCCGCGCAATTTCGAGGTCCCGTTGCAAAGGGTAAGAATACGGCTATGTTATTGTTAGTAGCTTTAGCAACTCCTTGCACAAAGCGGTCGGCTTTGAAAACTTGCACGTCTTGCCCCCAAACTTCAGGCTTATGGTGGATTGCTATAGTTGGGATGACCACTTCAACATTGGCAGGAACAATGAGCTTTCCCAATCGAACCTCCCTATCGACCTTCCTCTCGGTGGAAACAATCGGAGGATATAATCTTAGAGACTCGTTGATGATCGTACTTACTGTTTTTAGTTTGGCAATGCCACCAGGATTCGGATTTTGTCTGCCAAGTAATTGAAGTACCTCCTTTCTTGCTTCCTCTTGACAATCAGTGTGGAGTGCCAGAAGAAAGACAGTCCAAGCAAGCACGGTATTCGCGGTTTCATGTCCAGCAAAGTAAATTGTCTTGCACTCGTCCACTGATGTCCTCTTCTCGTCATTGGAATCGGAGATGAGAAGGCAGCGATCGAAGCTCTCCTCATCTCCGATCGCTGCCTTTTCTCTGTTCCATCGGCTTCAACCTCGTTGCTAGTTTTATACAACTTACTGTGTTTGGAAGTTTTCCTTGTTCTCGAGTAGATGTTGGGATCGATATATAAGGAGAAGAGTGACTATTTTCCGTCATAAGCGCTTGTTTGAAATCGTTTTAAAATAGTTGAAAACGCTATTTGAATTCATACAAAATTTTTTTTGGAAAGATTTTTTAGTTATTGTAAGAACACTTTCAAACGAGGTCTGAGTCTAATTCAACAGTTATTTAATATGATGGTTTTAACCAACGCTAATGAATTAAAAAAAAAAAAAATTTAGGTGTAAACACCATCCTCATCTTGCAAACCTACAAAAATTAGAATGAGAATTGAAGGTGGATCTCTCAACATTATTTTATTTATTTTTATTTGGAGCTTGAAACTCTTCCGGGCTTGGGCCAAGATAATGCAACATCAAGGATCCATATCGCCTTAAACACGTGGGCCTTCCCATGCAGCCCAAACTTGAGCCCAAATCTTGCCAACCCTATATCTTTACTTATTTACGGTTGTGCCACTACACTAGAGTGGAGTGGCGGATTCTCGCTCTATATATAACGCAGCCGCCTACCTTGTCTCTCCGATTCAGTTGGAGGCGGGAAAATAAAAAAGCCATCCGGACTAAAATCTTAAAAAAAAAGGAAAAAGACAGACCGAATCATTTACTTGGAACCAGATTAGGGTTGTAGGGTTTGTAGGGTTTTCGGATTCGGCGATGGCGAATTTCAATATTGTCGTCGACGGGGATCAGCAATGGCTGCTCAATTGCCTGTCTGCTACTCTCGACCCCAGCCACGAGGTTCGCTCGTTCGCCGAAGCTTCGCTTGATCAGGCTTCTGTGCAACCAGGTAGTCCCCCACCTAAAAACCCCATCTTTCAATTTGATTTTGTTTCATTTCTTAATGTTGAGTCGCTGACTGAACCTTTTAGTTGCTTTAATTTTGTTTGGTAATTTGAATTCTTGCTGAAAGGAGGATAGTTGAGAAGAAATGATAGTTATTTTATTTTATTTTATTTTTTGGTGGAGAATTTATGGTGATATGAATTGGAGTTTGGAGGTATTACTGTAATAGGCAGTGAATTATGCACCTTTGGGGTTGATGATTTGGTTCCGATTCTAGTGGATGGAGCGAAATATATTGTTGCATTGTGTATGTAAATTCGCTGCTCTCTCTATGGATTGCGGAAGCATGTTGAAATTGTTTGATGGGTTTCTTGTTGTTTGAAGGTTTTGGAACTGCGTTATCCAAGGTTGCTGCAAACAGGGAGCTCCCGTTAGGATTGCGCCAGATATCCTTTTGTTATCATGGTTCTTTTCTCTCTCCATTGTTTTCATTATTTTCTTGGTCCATAACAAAAATGTAATGAAAATTGGAGGTGATTCCTCCCTTTTTCTAATTGAAATATGAAAAAGATGTGCTTGAGTTGTATTTTTTCGTGCTGGATGCTCGGTTAAAGTTCTCACCTGTAGCATACAGCTGGAATTATTTTTTCATTTCCTCATGTGTGAGACTTAACATACTTTTACCTAGCTGCTGTCCTTCTTAAACAGTTTATTAAGAAACACTGGCATGAGGGAGAGGAAGCATTTGAACATCCTGCTGTTTCAAGTGACGAGAAGGTATTTTCAGCAGTTGGCATTGCCAAGCGCTTTTGTTTTTCTACTTATCTTGAAAGATTGATTTCTGTACTTCTCTGCATTCCTTATCTAATTAGGGGTTGCATTTCCAGGTAGTTGTACGCGAACTTCTGTTGTTGTCATTGGATGACTCTCATAGGAAAATTTGTACAGCAGTTAGTATGGCTGTTGCATCTATAGCAGCTTATGATTGGCCAGAGGATTGGCCTGACTTATTACCGTACCTGCTGAAGTTGATTAATGATCAAAATAATATGAATGGAGGTAAGCCTTTTCTTATTCATGATCTGCACAATCTTCTCTCTTTTTGTCTTGCTGTCGGACGCACACACATGCACTCTTTCTCTCTCTCCCCCAAATAATTCACATGAGGCTTTCCAACATGAAAGCAATTAAAAAATTCAATTAGGAATTGCCTGGTGGTACTAAAGTAGTAGCAATCAAATATGCATTGCAATTGTATGAGAGATGATCAACTATCTCATCATTGAACACAAATATGCAATTTTATTTCTCTCATAAGGTTCTCAGGTAACTGGTTATTGCCTGGGGCAGCTGTTGAAAAGAAGTCTATTAAGTCTTTTGAACCTTTTTTATAGTGTCTTTTTCTATTTGGAAGTCTAATAATTTTTGTTGCTGAAGTTCAATATTTTCTCTCAAATTTTGTAGTACATGGTGCTCTAAGATGCTTGGCTCTTCTCTCTGTTGACTTGGATGATACAGTGGTTCCGACATTAGTACCAGCCTTGTTCCCATGCTTGCTTAAAATTGTATCATCTCCTCAGGTTAGATTTTTTTGTTGTCTTCTTTTCTCATTTATTCGAGCTGTTCTTATCACATGTGCTCCAATTCTTTAGTAGTCTGTTACATGAACATGTATGAGTAATTGAGTTTTTTTGTGTTTCCTGCAGAGTATCCTTCCATTTATTGTGTTCTTTGTTTGTGCAGGTGTATGACAAATATTTACGCACAAAATCCCTTTCAATTGTTTATTCTTGTATCTCCATGTTAGGGGTGATGAGTGGTGTATATAAGGTAATTTTTCATCCATTCTAATTAACTTCCCAGGATATGAAAGTGTGGTAAATTAAGCGTTTTGTTATGATTAACAGCTTAAGATGTTTATGTTCAGACGGAGACCAGTGCATTAATAATGCCAATGATTAAGCCATGGATGGATCAATTCTCTACAATCCTGAATCATCCGGTGCAGTCTGAAGATCCTGATGATTGGAGCATAAGAACGGAGGTTGGTTTGGTGGTTTGGTAGAAATCTGTAATGATGTTTATACAGTGTAATTAGATTTGTAAATTATTTGTCCCTTCTCCATTAGGTATTGAAGTGCTTGAATCAGTTTGTTCAAAATTTTCCTAGCCTTATTGAAAGTGAATTTATGAGTAAGTTGACCATTCTTATCACCCAATGGATCAGATATATACCTTTTAGATTCTGGTTCTGCACATTGATAAATCCAGTTTTCATATCTCCTGCTGAACAAACCCTGTTTGTTGCAGTTATTGTAGGGCCTTTGTGGCACACTTTTATGAGTTCTCTTGGAGTATATGTGCGGTCATCTATTGAAGGTACAGAAGATCCATATGATGATAGATATGACTCTGATGGTGCTGAGAAAAGCCTTGATTCCTTTGTCATCCAGGTAGTTGATCATTAGCATTTGCAGATAGGGTAGTGTTATCCACACACCCAATTTTACTTCTCACACACCCCTCTCCATTTTCGGCCGTTGGATCGAATGAATTGAAGATCAATGGCCAAAAATTAACAAGGGGTGTGTAGGAGGTAAAAATGGGCATGTGAATAGCTCTTTCCTTGCAGATATTGTCTCGTGTGCTTGTATTATGTTGCCACACAAAAATCGAACTGGTATTTTTGTTTGATGTTTTCATAATCAAAGGCACGAGTTTATTGTTTCAGTTCATTTCATCTAGTGCATATGCTTTCCTTTTCATGTTTTTCAGTGAATTTGTTGTCAGATTAGAGTACGTTGCATATCAAAATATTAATTATAGCTATATAATATTGGAGGTCTTTGGATCCCCTGAAGACTTGGATGTTAGCCCATTTGTTAGTTTCAAAAGCTCAAAGCTCAGGTTTCTGGAATAAAAAAAAAAGGAGCAACAATTTAAACCAATACGCATTTTAAATTAAATATGGTTATACCAATGAAATTCAGATTAATTGTAATGATATTGTGCACTATTTGATTATCAGAAGTTTGAACAGTTAGAATAGAAATTCAAGAATTTGTGCTGGTGCACTATTTTTCTGCCTCACCCCCAAACACCTTTTGATGTATATGTAATTTGTGTCCAGATTTTTTCATTTTATTTGTTTTTGACTTATTTAATTTCTATATGCAGTTATTTGAGTTTCTGTTGACCATTGTGGGTAGTGCGAAACTGATAACGGTATGCTGCAAAGATTGTTTAATTCCATATCTACTAGTTGCCTCCTTATTACCTACTGTCCTTTTATTATATCAAAATCTTTTGCTCCCCTTTTATTGCAGGTCATTATGAATAATGTCAAAGAGTTGACGTACAACACCATCGGTTTTCTCCAAATAACAGAACAACAGGTGGGAATGTGATTTTGCTATTCGTTGGTCCTTTCCTTTTTGACATCTTAGTACTGCACTGAGTGTTTCAGCAGAAAAGTATCAAATTTATTCAGATTCAGATCTTAATTTTCATAACTTCTAGTTTTAATGCTTGCAACACTTGCACCTTAATGGTCCTAAGTTCTCTTTGCACGTATTAGCTGAAGATAAAAGACTCTTACCTTGGTTTCATTTTCTTAGGTTCACACTTGGTCAATGGATGCCAACCAATTTGTAGCTGATGAGGATGATGTTACCTATAGCTGTCGTGTTTCTGGTACGCTTAGCTAGTAATACGTAAACCATAAATATGTGGACTGAAGATTGGATTTCACAGCATGGGTCCGGTTGTTAGTGCCAGTTAATGCCTTTGAGAAACTCCAAAAGTTAGAAAATGAACAATGAATTCGCCTGGAAAACACTTGGGTTTATGGCCAAGTGAACCGAAATGACTATCACTATGCCAAGGTTATTCAAAAGTTAGAAAAATTAACTCAATTTTGCATGGAGAAAGACCATTATAACTTGATATCAGTCCAGGTTTACCCTTCCAAAAAGGGGAAGTTATCTTAGTTCTCCAACTTCTGAGCAAATGTTTCATTTTTGGATAATGATTTTTATTTTGAGTCATTTCACCTTATAACCCCAAATATTTTTGTGGCACAATAATTTTATTTTGTTGCATAAAATAGGGGTCGACCCTAGGATTCACTGCCTTCCCACCCCCCACCCCTTGAACTAGAGCTCATTGTCAGCGGAAGAATAACTGATGATGAGAGAAATACATCTATGTGTGTGTTATTCTACCATGTTCATTTGTAACCTAGAATTTGCCAAATGCTCTTCTCCTTTCAGTTTGAAGATTATAAATTAGTCTGCATTTGGCTCTTTGCTTCTATACTCAAGAGTTTCACGTTCTGTATTGGTTCTCAATTCTCAAAGAGCATTTGTCAATCAGAGAGAAGTGGGATATGTGACTGTACAGCTCATTTGATTGCATTATGACTTATCACAGCTTTAAACCATTGTTGGAATATTCCTGCCGCATTTTTCTCTCCTTGGCGAGCATCACGTTATGATGTCAACCAAAACTACCACTATTGAGAAATCATATATTTCAGAAGTTACATGTTTGACTGGTTGAATTATCAGGGTTATGTATTGTTGTTTTTGTTCATTCTATGGATGGTTTGCTGTTGCTAGTTTAAAAAAAAATAATGATTATTCTAATTGCTTTTATCACTTAAGCATTATCACACTTGTTTTGCAGGTGCACTTTTGCTTGAAGAAGTGGTGAATTCATGCGGTACTGAAGGAATCTGTGCCATCATTGATGCTGCAAAAAGATGTTTTAGTGAGTCTCAAAGGGAAAAGGATGTTGGTTCTGCAATTTGGTGGAGAGTGAGTAGAAACCATTTTGTCTATATTGTTTGTTTTAATTCTTCTCTCTGAACTCCTTTTTCTATTTTGGATGGCACATGCTATCAGATAAGGGAGGCTACTCTTTTCGCTTTGTCTTCTCTGTCAGACCAGTTGCTTGAAGCAGAGGTTTGTGCTTCGTTGTTCATTCTGATGTCTTTATTTTGAAGGTGGTTTTTGTGCTCCGACAAAGCTCCGATGAGCTTGGTGCAACTTCTTTGTGAATTATTCAATTCCCTTTTTTTAGTGGGTTCCCCTTGGTATACCATTAATAATTTTAATTTATAGGATTCCGAACTTACAAGAGTTGGCTTAGGAAGCCTTCTGGAGCAAGTAATCACTGAAGACAGTGGATTAGGTTATCTATCCCTGCAATAACTCCTTCACCCCCACTCTTTTTCTGTTTAAATACGTCAATTTGATGAATCAGTGAACAATTTCTGTTATTGTGTTGCAGATGTGCATCAATTTCCCTTTCTTTATTCTCGTATCTTTTCATCAGTTGCTAAATTCTCCTCCGTGGTAACTATCGCAATGTTTCCTCATCTATTAAAAGTTAAATAATTTGGAAATATGGTAAAAATATTTCTAGCATTTCACAGATCAGCCATGGAGTCCTTGAGCACTTTCTCTTTGCTGCTATCAAAGCAATTGGCATGGATGTGTAAATTTCTCTCTCAATCACATTTATGAATGTACATGCGTAACTTGTATCTAATAAAAAATGAGATATTTCTTTTCTTGACATTCATATGCTGGCAGGCCGCCACCTGTCAAAGTAGGTGCCTGCAGGGCACTCTCCGAGCTCCTACCTGAAATGAACAAAGGAATAATTCAACCGCATTTGATGAGTTTGTTTTCATCACTTTCAGAACTTCTTAGTCAGGTAATTTACAGCTAGTATAAACTTTAGTTTTATTGCTATACTTGCATTAAGAATTTACTATAATTCTGGTTTCAGGCCTCCGATGAAACCTTGCACCTGGTACTTGAAACACTGCAAGAGGCAATTAAGGCAGGTGAGTTTTATGGGTAGTGTGAATATTGTGTACCTTGTTTTCTAGACCTTGCTAGAACAGAATGGTTTTGTAAGTTTGCTATATTTATTTGTGATTTTATTGTCGTCTTTTTAATTTTTAATGGGTTGCTTATCTTCTTGCTTTGTTTTTGACTATTTATAGGTTACGAATTATCAGCTTCCATTGAGCCTGTAATCTCTCCTGTGGTCCTCAACATGTGGGCATCGCATATTTCCGATCCTTTTATCAGTATTGATGCAATTGAGGTTCTGGAGGTAATTATAGGCAGCATAGTTGGTAGATGTTATAATATCTTCAAATTCCCACTCGCATGGTTTGAGTTTGTGTACAAATATTTCTTTTATGATCTATATGTTAAATTTACCGTGCTTTGGTTTTTCTGTTCAATTTACTCCAGGCACTCAAAAACGCTCCTGGTTGTATTCGTCCACTGGTTTCTCGAGTTTTACCATGTGTTTGGCCAGTTCTTAATCAAGTATGGCTTGTAAGATTGTCTGTAATATAAATTAGATTCCCAGTGCAATAATTTAGTTTTTGGTGGGATAAGTGTTTGCTCTGATGCTTTGATTTTACTTTGCAGCCACAACAACAGCCTGATGGATTAGTCGCTGGATCAGTGGATCTGGTTACAATGTTATTGAAAGTAAGATGTACTTCAGTGGATGCTCATCTTTTACTTTCCTCTGCTCTTGGCTTTCCAGTTTTATATATAGACAGCATCTTGGTGGTATTACAAGATTTTTAATTAAAATCTGTGATAGCGTTGGTGCAGAATGCTCCTACTGATGTGGTAAAAACAGTATATGATGCTTGTTTTGACGCTGTTATACAAATAGTCCTTCAAAGTGATGATCACAGTGAAATGCAGGTAGTCTGTTATGCTTAACTCTCTCTCTCTCTCTCTCTCTCTCTCTCTCTCTCTCACTCACTCACAGACACACACAGAGGACTAAGTTCTATGAGCTATCACATATCTAAGGAATACAAATGACTAAAAATTATTGTGATAAATTTGGTAAGAATGCTACGGAATGTTTAGCTGCCTTTATATCTGGTGGAAGACAAGATGTGCTAGCTTGGGGTGGTGATTCTGGAAATACAGTTAGAAGATTGTTTGATGCAGCTTCAAGGTAACTGTTTTCTTTTTAACCATGTTTGGTATTTCATAGTTTCTTGAAAACTCTTTTTAGTTTTGGCTCAAACTTGAAACTTTGTCACGTACTAGTGGACTCAACTGAATATGAAAATGGAATATCAACGGGTACTCTTTTGTCCCTTCCTCTGATTCTCTGTTTGTGGGGAATGGGGATACACAGCAAGGGGTTTGCTTTGCTTTTCCTTTCATGAAATTATCTTTTAAGAATTTTGCATCAACATTCTTCTATGGAAGGTGAATAAAGCGAACATTTTGTTCATCATTTTGATGGATCCAAGTGATACTTCATATGAAAAATGACATGTTTTCTTGCATGCTGAAAATAAGTGTCAGGTTGTGAAGATATTCCCATGTATACAATTCAATTCCATTTTGGTAGTGCTTGAACTTCTATTATTTTTGAATGAGTGGTCATCATATCCGTAGGATTTGGTCGATCCTAGTTACGGGGACCTGAATGTTTGACAACTGTGCAGGCTTCTGGACCCTAATTTGGAAAGCTCGGGTTCTCTTTTTGTTGGGAGCTACATTCTACAACTTATATTGCATTTGCCGTCACAAATGGCACCCCATATTCGAGACCTAGTCGCTGCTCTTCTTAGGCGCATGCGATCTGCTAAAATTGCAGGATTGAGAAGCTCACTGCTACTCATTTTCGCTCGGTTGGTATGCACCTCAACTTTTCATCTTTAGTAGTTCCTCTGTTTATCTTTTTTTTAGCTCATAAAATAATATAAACATTTTCCCTTTGAAAGTTTCACTTTACCAACACTTAATCAGGTTATATATTCGTCATCCATAACAAGCTTTTACATTGGCAAAACTCTACAGTCAATTTCACAGTCAATTTCGTATACAGTACTTATTGCTCAATGAAAGTTAGTCGTTTAATTTTTGCAGCTTCTAGCTGTCTGAAATGTTTCTCATCAAATTTCCTGGCAATCTTTACCTTTCATTGAATGTTTAATCTCAGCTGGTCTGGTATGGATCAGGCATTGACTAGCCATTTCTTATTCGGGTTTGTTTTTGAATGCTGAATTTCATAGGTTCACTTGAGTGCCCCAAATGTTGGACAGTTTATTGATCTGCTGGTCACCATTCCAGCTGACGGTTATGACAACTCTTTTGTCTATTTAATGTCAGAATGGACAAAACAGCAAGGTAATATATTTCTTACTTGTTGACTTGTCATATTCTTGATACAATATTTGATCCATTAAATTTAGTTGATTAAACCCAATCCTTGCCCATACGAAAGATTGCAAGTCAAATATCCAATGTCAATGCCTAGCAGCATCTCAAATTTGTAGAATTTGGTTAGATGTTAAACATGTACTTTCGTTGAATGGAAAGTAATATCGAAGGGTGGATAAGTGATAACATTATCAAAACCTAATGTTTATGGCCAGTGGGACCTGAGGTTACTAGAATTTGGTATATAGTTTTGATGATTTTTATCTGAGCCCTTTAAAACTGATTGCAGGTGAGATCCAGGGTGCCTACCAAATTAAAGTCACCACTACTGCATTGGCTTTATTACTATCATCTAGGCATGCTGAATTAGCAAAAATTAACGTGCAAGGATATTTGGTTCAGGTTCTAGTTCTACTGAAACTTTGTGATTTTATGCACTTATTTATTTTCTAAAACGTACTTGATTCAAGAAATTGCTCTTCTTGCTTTTCTAAAGTCTGCTGGGATCACCACCCGCTCAAAAGCTAAATTAACTCCAGATCAGTGGACTGTGGTGCCACTCCCTGCAAAGGTACTTCTATTCTTTGACCTGACAAGCACCTTCTGCATGGCCAAAGGACCATGATGGTTATATTTGGTTGCCTAGTCCCCTTGGGGACGCTTTAAAGGGCAGATTATATTTAGTCTCCTAAATATTATGTTTCGCTGTAACATTATATTTGCCGGTGCACAGTTGTGCCTGGCTCGATGGTTTCACCCATTTTACATGGAAGATTGTCTTTAATGCTTATGCCTATGCTTTGCAGATAATGGCGTTACTGGCAGATGCATTGGTTGAAATCCAAGAACAGGTTGGAACTGGTGATAATGAGGTAGTTAATGAATTTCCAAGATTACTTGGTAACGTAATAAACATTAAGCTTTGAAACAATTCCTGCAGCCGGATAGCGACTGGGAAGAAGTTGAGGCGGAGGATGGGGAACTTGACAAGGATTTGATGTATTCAGCTGGTGTTACATCATTTGGGAGACCCTCACATGAACATCTTGAAGCTATGGCAAAAACATTTGACAAGGTACTTTCTTGTTGCTGGTATATTTTAGTAAAGTTTCTTGGGATACTAATCGAATGTAACATCTTCCGAAGGATGAGGAGGACAGTTATGAAGATGATCAACTAAGTGCAGCCGATCCCCTTAACAAGGTACCTTGACTTGTTCAAATCTGCTAAGCATTTTATCTGTAATATTACATATAATTCACGCTTTAATTACACCTTACAGATTAATTTGGCAAACTATCTTGCGGAGTTTTTCGTAAACTTTTCCCAGAGCGAAAGACAAATGTTTGATCATCTTTTCCAGGTGAAGTTCAGTAACTCAATTCATTCCGATTCAAGCAGTTGCAAGCATTTACGAAAACAAAAGTTTAATTTGATCTTGTTTAGTTCTGTACAACTACCGAAAATACGTGATTGTCCTGTAATTTTGCTATGAACTGCAGAGTCTGACGCAGGATCAAAGGAATGCCATTCAAGCAATACGAACTCACGGAGGATGACTGACGACCTTGTGAAGTCTCGTTTCTGTATCACTTATCGTCTTTTATTATTCGTCAGAGGCCATTCCCGTAGAATCAGTGCAATTTTTTTTCTGAGTACAGTTGATCAATAGACAAAACGCAGAAATCGAGCTATGTATTTTGGTGATGCGTTGTGAATATTCAATATCGAGAAGAAATTCAATTCAAAAAATTTGAAACCATGGATTAGCAACTGTCTAGCGTCATCAAACTAATCTTGGTCTGTAAGAAATTTTCAAACCTGCCTGTGAACACGTCTGGGAAAAATCATCGTACCTGCTACCTGGTAAGTAGCGTAAAAGATGCCGGGCTTAACCAATATCCGCCACTGCTTGACCAAGGTTGCCGTGATCTCCATCGACGTTAAGATAGTCTCTTCGATCCACGCATGGTTCGTGTAGTCCTTCCATTTCCACAACACCAATTCATTCTCCATGTTCTGGTTTATTTATAAGCTTGTTGCCCTACAGAGTCATGCATCCTCCCAGCTCAGCTCAGCTCAGCTCAGCTATACCCTCAATGGTGAAGTCAATACAACGATAAGGCAGCGGGATCACTCTGAATTTCTCGTCTCCAGCATCAAATACCATTACAACAGTTTTTTCTTTTCTTTTTCTCCCGTGCTTCTATGTATGGCCTTGTTTGTGCATAAAATTGGCAAATTTCACTCGTTTGGGACTGAAGACAAATTATGACATTTTGTGGGGTTATTGTGAAATTAGAGTAGACTTGCATTAAGTGGCACATGATTTGGGTGATAGCCTTATGCCAAACTCATTATTATATGATAAATGATTACAGATATTTCTCATACAAGTGAAGTTTTGACGGTGGAATGCATCAAGTGGCTTTTGTATTCACACTAGGGTGGTGCATTTGCATCAAGGAAGCCAATGCATGAAGATGCGGACACTCAAACAATCAAACAAATCTCTCTACAACTGCACATTTTTCATTTCAAAGCTTTATTTTACTTGGCAAGCTTAGCAACCTTTCATTTCTTTCAATTAAAGTCAAAACGCTCTTTCAATTCATTGTAGTTTTAGGTTCGTTTGAATGTGTTTTTAAAATGACCGAAATCATTTTTAGATAATGTTTTTGGGTTCCAAAAGCACTGAAAGTGCTTTCGGCAAGAAGCACTTTAAGTGTTTTTCCAGGATTTATTTGCATCTTTACTAAAGGTTGGTTCTAAAAATATTTTCACAAAAAACGCTTTCAGTCATTTTAAAAGCACATCCAAACGAACTCTTATTCTCTTTACAAGTATTCCTCTTTAAATCTTTCTCTTGTAATAGCTACTTGTGTTTTAATAACAATCTCTCATTGAATCATTATGGTCATTTACTACAAAGCACAAGCAATTTCTCTTTCCCTTTGAATCAAAGCTTGAACTCCGATGGTCAACGCTGTTGGAGTTTTGAGACTCCTTGGGATGTTTTGTCTTCTACACGAGTAGTTGGGATTTGAACCATTTGCAAATGGATTGAAGACTTCGACCTTATGGTTGTGTGGGTTAGGTTTGTAAAATATAGCTTAATACAATTAATATTAATTAATCAAGACAAGAGTCTTGGGCCTTGGAAGTTAAAATTAATCAGATTCATTAATTTTAATTTTGGATTAAGTTTTTTAATTAACATATTAATTAAAAAACGTTTTGATTAAGAGGCACAACTTTTAGAAAGAGTTGTGTATTTTCAAATACATTCAACAGGTATTTGAAAGGATGTGAAACAACCTATATATTTGTAATCTCAGTTTCCAAATAGAATCATATTTTCTTCCTCCTTCTCTTCCGCACAAAATTTCTAGAGAGTAAACACACAAAACAATTCGCTAGAATTCTATAATCTAGTGCAGGGTTGTAGAATTAGGTTGTTGTATCCTGGTCGAGCAGACGTTGTAGAACCACAAGCACAAGAGTGGGACTAAAATACTGTTCGAAGGACATAGCTTTTGCGTAAACCTCTACCTGTGGTTAATCAAGTTAGTACTATTTTAATTCATGTATTTATTTTTGTATTTCATTCTGTATAGCAAGTATTTTTGGTAAATAAAGTATTAAAATTTCAAGTTCTGTTATTTCTGTTAGTTTTATTTATTTCTGAATTATTCTCCAACAAACGCTTTAATTGACCACTACATATTGTGAAGTTATTTCTCTATATAAGTAAAGTCCTTATCATTAAGCCAAAGAAAAAACCTAAATTGAGTCACTCTCACTCAATGACACAATCTTTATTGTTTGCAGTCAATTAAGCAATGATAGAGATTTTCGCGCCGATAGAGATTTTAGCACTTGTAAAACAAGGGTTAAAGAAGCATAACCAATTTTAACATGATATTCGTTCAAAATTGCATCCGATGACTTTTCTAATGCATCTTAATGATGATCAAGCATCAAGACACATAGACAGTTTAATTCAGTGATTGAAAATATCAAAGTAAGCATGTAACAACACTTAAGCAATTAAAAGAGAAATTTACGTAATCGTGTTGAGGTTCACGGTCTCACTCTAGCAAAAGAAATTAGTTATACATACTTATCTAAATACATAAGGGATTATCCATTAAGAATCAAAGAAAGAAAACAACCCTTTTTTACAAGACAAGCTCTCCGATCTTCTCCTCCTTTTCTGCTATGTTGCTCTCTGCAATTCTCTACTCCTCTGCTGCTCCATTCTGTCCGTCCTCCTCTCTGTCTTCCCCTCTATCTCTTTGCGTGTATTGCCTTCAACAAAAGGCAATAATTGCCAAAACCACCCAAAGCTACAAGTGGAAGACCAACCAAACTCCACTTCATAGTGGGCACCCCATGTTCTCCTCTTTTCTGCCACTCCCTGCATCTTTTCTCTTTTTTTTTTTATGCTAAGCCAAAATAAGTGGAATCCCCACTTTCCTGGCAAAGTCACATGGCGTACATCTTTTCTCTTCCTCTCTAACTTTATTGGAATCGAGTGTTGGCACCCTCACGAAAGCAAAGTTAAATATCAAGCTTTTGGATTTGGGGCTCAAGGGCCAGTTTCCCCAGGGTGCAGCAAACTGCACAAGCTTAACAGGCCTAGATCTTTCAAGCAACATGCTTAATGGACCTCTTCCTACTGAAATTGGTAGATTAGTTTCGTTCCTTGCTTATCTTTATCTCTCATCCAGTGGCTTCCTTGGGTATTTTTCATCTCCAACTAGAATCGCTAAAAAATTCCACCGTTTGCATACTTTTTCACCAAACTCGATCACGCTGCTCCTAGAAACACAATATGGCATAAGTATCACAAATACTTAAAACTTCCAACTAAACTCGACAAGAAAATAAATATAAAGGGGCAAAATATATAGTATAAACTAGCATTTGAGCCCGCGCGATGCTGCGGGTTGCAAAACTATGTTATAAGTATGACATAAAAGCGATCTCTCAACCCATGCCAAAATGTTCCCAATCAAGATCAATCACAATTGTCACAAAGCAATGCTCTGATCAAAGCTTCTAAAAAGGAACATAGCTAATAAGATGTAATAACTATCAAACTCATATAAATATAAACACATATTCCATTACATTTCCAGTAAACTAAAACTCAAAAACTCTTTCTGACATTGCATTGTAAATCCCCTTCTAGACCAGAAAAGATAACCATATTTCCAAAAAAATATTTTATACGCACAAATAGATAATCAGGTAAACTTATTATCCATTGGTTTACCATATGTTTTCCAAACCGCCGAGACTACGAATTATGGCTATTGTCAATTTCATGCAAAATCAAAGAAATATGATCTGTGATTATAGAAAATCAATTATGTGGAAGGCAATTAAAGACTGGATTGCCCGAAGGCTGTTCTAGTGTTTACAGCCACTTCTAGTATAATTTAGTTTGACATTGATATTCAAAATTTTCATGCAATAAATTGGCAAGCGGTGCTGAATACTAAATTACGAAAACAATTATATGTACTGGGCAAATGTGCCTTGAAGCTCAGAAATACAAAATACACAGCCAAAAACTCAGTAAAAAGTAAGGAATTGTTAACTCATTAAGGAAACACAACAGAGAAAGCCATTGGGTTACCATCGTCGAATGCTCTCATTTGCAATGAAATGGGGGTACCGCCCGAGCTTGAATTTTCATGCCCTGAAAAATTCAGAAAAAGGACATGTTTCGATCCCCAGATAGACGCATCTATATATGAAAAATACATGAAAATATAATGAAGTTCAGAAATCCAACCATGTTGGTTAAATTCCTCGTGCCAGGTCGCTCAAGGATGACCTCCTAGTACTTACACTTCTAAGTGAGAGTTGACTTGGTTTCACAATTCCGACTCGTGTGCATTTTTGTTCACCATTTTGCACAGCCTTAAGATCCTGTATTACAATTTGAATTTCGCTTACACATGCATACACTACAAATGTAGTACAGTGATTTAAAACAAAGATTCTGACTTATCACTTGCAGCCATGTTTCCAATTGCTGCATCTCTTTGTTTTATTAATTTTTCTTTATAATCAAACATAAATCACATAGATAGTTCAAAAACCGAAAAAAGAAAAAGAGAAATTATAAAATCATATTGAAAACTCCTACCAAAGCACATTAATAATCTAACTAATGAACGTGATTTGAGAAACAAACCCCTGTTTGAGTGCTACCGATCAGATCCTGCCCTTGCATTGCTGTTTCCACATAGCACTCTCTACACAAAATCCCAAAAAAAAGTTAATACATAGTCCATACACAAATCAACCAACAAATAATAAAAAATAAAAAAAATCTTCTTTTTCAATCATTTTCTCATATGGGGAACAACCTGCTAATACCCTTCATGACCAAAGCACTCAGAATAATTCATATATATTTTTCAATTTTCAAATCACATACAAAGTGGAATATAAATCTTAAAACTTTTAAGCCAAAAACAGATGCACTATTTTCCAGACTCCCAAAGAAAAAAAAAAATGTAAGGCAAGTGGAAGCACAAATCTTGTGAAATAATTATGAATATTCTATAAATAATCACATGCAGATCATTACCCAATTAATCACCAAAAGATCACAACATAGATCCACTGCTAGAAATTGAAAGGCATAGCATATTATCAGTTCAAGATTAAAAAAAAAAAAAAAAACAAAAAAAACAGAAAATTCACAACAAAGCAAGCCAATGAACAAAATCCACGAAGAAAATCTCAAAATTCCAAAACCTCTAAAGGATTATGAAAACAAAGACACACCCAGAACTAAGAGCTCAATCGAAGCTCCGTTTACACAAAAGCTATAACCAAATGTAAAATTTGGATATGTACATTGTTTCTTCGTTTTTAACAATATTTGGGATGCAAGTATATGGTCGGTGGTATCTTGGCTTCAAATTTTGAATTGGTAAAGGTTGCTGTCATTTGATACACAACTGAAAATTTGGATGCTCCAGTGGAAGATCAGGCTGCAAATTCAAAATTCAAAACATAAAAATCCAAATTAAACACAATTCAAAAGCGATTTAATAGTTACCAACTATAAATCCACCATGCATCTAATAAAAAAATACAAAATTAAACAAAAAAATACAGAAAGAAGAAAAGGGTACCACATATTTGCATGTCGCTGCGGCTCTTCAGAACCCACAAAATTCGAGCCGAAAGATGGTGGCGGCGGTGGTTCCGTGAGAGGCGGTGCCGCAGGGTGAGATTTCTTTCGCTACAGGTATCTGCTGTCGTCCAAGAAAACCCAATAGCCATGCGCAAACACAGACGGAGAGAGAGAGGAGAAAAGAAGAGTACATCCAGATCTTTCCCTTCCCAGAGAGACAAAAATGAAGAAGAGTCGAGAAGAGGCAAAATCGAAATTATACAAATCAAGCAGGGGCAAAAAGGGAAGCACACTGCCCTAGAACAGTGCCACCCGAGTTTGGGTTTTAGTATATATAGAATATTGGTTCGTCAAGCGCAATCTCCATCACTCAAATCTTGTCTACTAACGGAAACTAATAATGCAACGGTGGCAGTCTTTAATTTTATGTTCAAGTAAATTTCCCGCCTACCTGCAAAGCCCATGACAAATTTAGAGGGCAAACAACCGTGGATGCACACGCATATTTGACGAAACTCGCAACTTAGAAGATCAAAAGGAAGATCACCAAGGTCTAGTTGTATTATTAGGAGAAAGTTTGATGGACTCTCGAGTGATGGGATTAAATATTAGAAGCCACGGCGTTGATTTTCTATCATCGGAAACATACACAGACCAAGCTGTTGATGCTCCGCACGTACACAGGGGAGTTCAATACCGTGCTTCTCAATGTATGAAAGATGGGTGCCGGGAGTTGCACTATATTCCCCTTTTCATCTATTTGCGAGGAGAATAATAAGCTCGCCCACCAAACCCTTTTAACTAACGGGTAGCAAATCACCCTGTGTAAGCAAAATAAGCTCGTCCACCAAACCCGGAAGAGTAGGTTGGTCGTACTTTTCTTGTTGTTCGAGTTCCGGTGAGCGGTGACAAAGCAAGGGATGCGGATGGAAGAGGACGAAGACTTGCATACGCACTTAAAAGCGCATCAGCAACTTTGCCGGTAGCCTTGGGAGTCACCAGCTTCCTTATAAACTTATTGCAATTAAGTCAAGTTTATTATTCCAAATATTATGTAACATTCGACTGACCTGGTGTACTTTCCAATATATTAAGTTTTAATGCATACAGTTTGCATCAGTAATCAGAGTTGGAAAGATAAACAAACCATTGGGAAATTTTATTAGGATTCAGGTTTTCTCACTCTGCACCAAGCTTACTTTATTGCCTGGATTATCATACAAGATATTTGCCTAGACATGTTGAGAAAGTCAACAATCATACAAGATATTTGTCCAAAAAGGTCTATATTTACCGATCTAGCTAGTATGTTAGAAGGATTACCATTCTAAAATAATTCATTTGATTTGAATACCGTTTAATCATTCATAACAAATCGACGATTAAGGTAACAAATAATATTATCTTGATGAACTGTGAAAACAGATATACTATATTATTATGACAGTAGAACTGAACGACAAATTATTAGACATTTGACTCTTTTACATTAGATATATATATATATCAACAGATATTTGCTAACAAGGGATCGCATTCATGCGTTATTTGTATCATATAATTATTCATTTAAATCTGGCATGACTCTCTGTGCTGCTTCTCTCTCTTTGGTTCAACGCAGCCACCATCTATCGCCACGATCACTATCCGATCTGAAAGAACAAAACTGAAACTGCAGCACTTCCACTTGTCCATCAAACTGCTGCTGGAGTTGTGTGCTTCTTGGTGGAGCTAGGCGACTGCGGCAAATCGGACACGTTGCACATTTAAATCCAGTCCACCCGTCCAAGCATGGTTTATGAAAGAGATGAGCGCATCTCAGTTCTCTAATCTCTTCTCCTTCGTCAATTTTGCATAGACACACACAACATTCGGCAGTACTACTCTCCGAATTCGTCCCAGCATTGGGTTTGTACCGGACTGTGGTAAGTGATAACTCTGTGGCTTGGTCGGCAGGCAATAGTTCATCAAAGCAGTGATCATAATGTATGGAGAAGGAATGGTAAACCAAGAAGTTGAAAAGCCAGGTTATGTGGGTGTAGGTTAGATGTATGTACTTCCACATGGTTTGAATAACTGTTTAAAGCTGCAAACTGGAGTTGTTGGGTCGGCTTATGAGGGCCGAGTATGAAGATATTTATAGGCTTTGGACGTGGGAAAATAATAGAGGGAAGCAGAGCCTTAGCCAAGCAATCAAATTTAGGCTAATGTCGCTTATCAATACTTGGTTAATGAAAATGATTTATGCACATTATTTTTCTCTTTTCGAAAACTGCTAGAAAATGATCTTTGTATATAAGTTAAAATACCGAATTAACTAATTAATTTTCTAATATAAACTCTTTTTTCTTTTTTTTCTAGCCGTTGGATTGAAGATATAATAAGAATCAATGGTCAAATTTAAACGCAGAAGGTTGAGTAGACCTAATTTGGGTTTGCCTTTTTTTGGATCAAGGGGGAATATCAGATGTCAATTCTTAGTTCTAAATTATAAATAGACCTCTTCCAATATCGCTTGTTTTAAAAGAAAGTCTCAAAATCCAAAACTGAATTAAGAAGTTGTAACACCATAACGTGGCGTTTTGATGACTTGAAACAGTATTAAACTGCTGAAACAAAGAGTAGAACCATTTTCATATATGTAACTGTTGACCCTAAAAATTACAAAGCCTACGTGGCGCGCATGCCGAGTAACTAATGAGCTAACTACGTCATTTGGTTGATGCGGGACTTGCCAACTCGTTGGCCAAGCTCGGCCGAGGAGTAAAATTTGTTAATGTTGAGTTGAACGCGTTACTGATTTCTTGATCTTGCAACTGTGACCGAGGAAGGAACACGTCTCGGCCTTTGGGTTCTCAAGTCTGAAGACAAAGCTGCTAGTTCTACAAAGTTCACGAATCGTCGACATCGGGTTTGGTCACGGTGATTATATTCGTAAGAGTATAAGCACGTCGAACCAGCTCCGAACTATATGGACACAGGTACTCAAAAGAGATGTACATCTTGATGGTAAATGTGGTTCGGTCGTCAGAATGCTGAATTCTAAAACTCACTTGTGAGTATCCAATCATAAAATCACTCGGCGTTCAATGTGCCGAATATAGTAACTTGTAACACCTTACTTTGTCGAGAAAGCTAATAAGATGACCTTTGCCAATAAGGATTCAGAAACCCTTCTTGACCGAGACTTGGATAGGTAACCAGTTGGCCTCGACGCAGTGCTGTTTATTCAAACTGAAAATGCTCCTCGGTCGGCTGATTCTACGGCAACAGTGCTGTTTATCCAAACTGAAGATGTTCGCCGGTTGCCTTCACAGTGCTGTTTATCCAAACTAAAGATTTGTTGGCGGAAAAAGAAAATAAAAAATCTCAAGATGTTTGAGAGGTTTGCGCAGAACAATTTGTGTGTTAAATTGAAGAAGCCCCCAAATGTTGTATACGACTCTGTATTTATAGTAACTGTCTTTTGCTTGGCACGGCTTGATAACTTTGTAGAGTTCAATTGTCGCTCTAACTTTGTAGAACATCACTTGACTCAAACTTGTGTCCCATCACCTTAGCCGTCCAATATCTCCAAGATATGATAAAGACTATCTCTTAATTTTCCTTGAAAAGATTAAATGTATCTTCCCACATACGTGGCTTGACCAAATGAATGCATCATATTCCAACCGAAACTTCTCTTTCTCCATTATATTGGTCCAAGTGCAACCATGCATGCATGATAATTAAAATACCATGGTTGATAGTTTTGCATTATCTGCAAAACCACCCTGATCCCATCACGTCACCTCATTTTGACTAATCCAAAAGGCATATCCACATGTTGATCATCCAATATTAATTGCATCCTTATGGTATTGTTCCACGTGGTTCTGCATGCAATATAGGACTCTAATGTTGCACGGCATTTCACGTAACCTCTTCTGCATGGAGCTTTATGTGTATCACAACTCTGTACATTTTAAGGATGGATATTTTCAAGATAATTACTATGAAAAAAAAAAAAACAATAGTAATGTTAAGAAAGATCTCTAATCATCCGACGGCCTCGATTATTTGAACCGATAATGTAATTTTGGGTCCAAACAGTAACATATTATATATCTAGCTCCTTCAAATCAAAGAACATTTTGCTAAAAACACATTATTTTCAGCAATCACACATAAATAAAAAGAGAAATTCTGGTTTCAAACGATCACGTCACGGATCAGCGGCTATGCGTAGCTCTTGTTCCTCCAGTAATCGGAATTCTTGAGAGTCCGTGCAATCGATGCCTGAGCTTTCCTGTGCCTCGCGTCCATCCTCATGCTCTCAGTTTTCCCAATTATCGCATATGCATTTCTTTTATTTAAAATCCTCAGTTTTGATTTCAGAGTTTCTTACAACTCGATCAGACTCCTCATCACCATGCTTGATGAACCTGCAATCTGATCACGGAAACGAAACACACAAGTTTTTTTTTATATAAATTTGTTTTTGTTAAAACACATTCTTGAATATTGTTTAAATGATTTTAGTGTAAATTATCGTATAATTTGTGAAACAAGTGTGTATACAGATTAAAAAATGATAAAAACGTACCGATCAAATGCAGCCAGACGTACTATTCCGAAGAACGATTAGAAGAGGGCCGGGAAAGATGCAGATTGGTAGGGTGTCATATGAGAAATCATATATATTAAGCAGATGTACTAATATGAGTTAGAGGGCTAGCTATGCATAATTATGTATAAACAATGCAATAATCTCGTAATTAGTTGGAGTCACGAGAGTGAATCTTGTGTTGGACTTGGATGCAGCCTTGACTGAAGACGATTTTATTAAGGAAATCATGTAGACAATGCAATAATAATGCCAATGATTTATTCTAATAAGCTCTAATTGTTAATCAAGATTCTTAGGGTTAATTATAATTCTCACCTTGGTTCATAGGTAAAACCTTTGTAACTTCATGGTCTATCCATGGATTGGCAAGTTCCTATTTGGAAGGCTGTAAAATCTTAACTGCGGCAGTTTTCACTCTAGTTAATAATTCAGCGCACTCGTTGTTGTTACTATGGGGTCCTGAAGGAAAGATCGATTCTTTGGGATTCTTCTTCTCTTCAAATGGAACAAACAAAGAAAGAATAAGACTGATTCTCTAAACGCCTTTCTAGATGTTCCTCAATGTCCTGGATATGACGTCCATTTGTTTTCATCATAAATGATCGCTTGCCCTAAAGTGACCTAACCTAATAGGGAAATCTCAATACATTGGGCTTTCAATACAATAAAATAGAAAGCCCTAAGGGTGCCATGTTCTAAGAGCCCAAACAATGTGATTGAATTGAATAAATCATTTTCTATCCAGTGTAGTAATTCAGGTTTTACACTATGTGGAATGTCTCTCTCATATTGTGAGATTCTATCTAGTGGCATTCGATCACATAAGCCATTGACAACCGCATAAAAGATTAGAACTTGCTTTTCAATACTATGTTATTATTTTCTTTACAAGTGAGAAGTCTTGTATTCTGATTTATAAATGATGATAATTATTGTGTGACTTAGACTCAAAAAGTTATATATCCTAGGTGGTTCGTTTCATGAAGAAGCAAATGTTGTATCAATTGCCCTACTGCGCTACAAGGATACGACCTGTCAACAGACACACTGCTACATAGATGGTAGTATTTCTTGCGAAGTAGAAAGATCGATGACTTGTGCAATTTTCTAGCTGCTTTGACTGGGGCAAGTCTGTCGAGATAGTAAAATCACCGCATGCATGAGTTGCATTGGAGTTGTGATATCTGTGGGAAACGCGCTTGCAACACACTCTCAAAACATCAAAGTCCACGAATTCCCCATTACACAAAATGTGAAGAAAAGTATTAAGGAGTGCTATTTTTTAAGTGTTACTTTACTTGTATGATAACATGTGATATATTATTTTGTGTTGAGGCACACTAAAAACAAACATATTTACTTATTTTTCATCTCATAATTTTTCGCATTGCAAATGTATTAGGTTATTACAAAAATTCAAATTATGAGATGAAAATTCAAATTAGGAAGTCAATATTTCGATCTCAGATTTAACAGAAGAAGGTAAGGGGCATTTTAGGAATGAAAAAAATCTTATTTTCTTCAAAGACTATGTAATATGCTGACATGGAAATTGAAATGACGTGGATGAGGATAAAAGCGGCATAATAGAAAATAAAAAAAGATTATAATTTATTGACACGTGCTAAATTTTAGGTAAATTATAATATTACCCAGCATAATTTACTGACAAATTAAACCCTACATAAGTATTTTTCAGAAAAAAAAAAAGTATATACTTCGGGAAGCAAAAGAAATTCCTCGACAGAGCTGATCGTTGGTTTCAATCTCAGGGAATTATGGCGCTTAATTCCCCAACCCGCTGCGCGGCTCCACTGACCCGCTCTGTTCCACCTCGTTTGCCTCTCGCTTTCTTCAATCGGACCTTCTCCAGACCCGGATTTTCCACCGAAGTCCCGGCCGCCAGGCTTGTCTCCGTTCGTTGCCAGGCGCCCAGTCCGGACGGCTTCGCGTCCAAGCGCTCAGTGAGTTTGGACGAATCCGAAGCTTCGATCGGGTCCTCGGGTTCTTCATCCGCGTCCTCCGCCATTGATTTTCTCACATTGTGTCACCGTCTCAAGGTATGCACTAATTCTGCTAGTTTTCTCTCTGTTTGGCTACCGAGAAAATGAAAAGTTGGAAAATTGTTTGTATCTGTTTTCTGCGGTTGTATAAAGATTGAAAATTTGTGTTGCAATTTGAGAGATTAGGTGGGTGGTAGGTAGTGGGAAAGTTAAAAATTTTAGGTACTTAAGAATTTTCTCAGCTACCAAACAAAGATTGACGCTTGAATTGAACTGCATGTTTCACATTGTGAAAATATTTATTGAGATGATTCGGAATACAATCCATATGCCAAGTAAGACAAATTGAAGAAATTGAATTGGGCTGTGAAAGATGCGACTTACTGGGAAGGATTTAGTAACTTTAGTTTTAAAACTATGATATGGTTTTCTAATGGAGATCAAAATGATTTCTGCAAACTGCGAAGTAATAGTAGCGGTGTAAATATAATGTCTTCACGGTATGAATTGCGAGAAGATTCACGATATCATCTCCCTCTCACTTGTAGACCACAAAAAGGAAGGGTTGGATCAATCAGGGAATAAAGGGTCCAGAGTCCATCGCAGATCACATGTACCGCATGGCTTTGATGTCTTTGATTGCTGGTGACGTTCCAGGCTTGAATAGAGAGAGGTTGGAGTTTGTGATGCTATATAATGGCCTATGCTCTTTATCATTTTCTAATCGACCTTGCTTGATTATACTGGTAATCGATATGTGACTTGGACTTTTTTGTGTGCAGTACCTTATTTTCTCATTTTTGCCATCCCTTATTTGAACAGGTGTATCAAGATAGCAATTGTGCATGACATCGCAGAAGGTATCTTTTGTTCCCTTGTTCTTTCACGTTATTTCTGTATCATATTTCCCAAAATCGGAGTTTAGTGTGATTCTATCTAAGAATCAGCTTTAGATGTAATAGACATTAGAGTTATATTCTTTTTACGTTTGTCGTAGCCATGCTAATTTATGATGATGCTAAGATTAGCTAGCTGAAAAATAGAAAAACTCTACTTTAGCATATAAGAAAGGTACTAATTAGGAAAACGATAAGTAAAGTGATATTTGTGCCTGTTTGTCTTGCTGGTTTGAAGTGAAGTTTCCGGAAAAGTTCATTACCCTTGCTTCATATGGTAATACTAATACAATTGGAGTGTTATTAGGGCACACTGGGTAGTTCATTTTTAGTTTTTACCGTAAAAACTAAATTTGTTAAATGTGTCGTTAGTTTTTCCTATGTAGAGAATAAGGTTTTCTTGTTGTGATTTTAGCAATCCTGCTTGCGTTATCATTTTAGAGTGTGTTGTTATGTTTGCTGCAGACTCATGGTCAGACGTGCATCTGTTGTGTACATCTGTCTTTCTACAGATACATATATATGTACATACTCGCGCGCTCGCGCACACACACACATGCATGTGTATAGCAATGTGTTTTGATGTTAGATTGCTTTTGGACTATTCTCAGCTATTGTTGGAGATATAACACCATCTGATGGTGTACCGAAAGCAGTAAAGAGCAAAATGGAGCAAGAAGCATTGGATGAAATGTGTTTAGTTCTCGGTGGAGGGATTAGGGGTGACCATTAATTCTTATCTTCATGGAGCTATTTGATTATCTGAAAATATTCACTTCCGGAATTGCATTAACTGTAATGTTCTTATCTGCAGCTGAAGAGATCAAAGAACTTTGGTCAGAGTATGAAAATAATTCGTCCATAGAGGCTAATCTTGTGAAAGATTTTGACAAAGTACGCATATATTGACATTCGCATTTAATGTTATATGAACATGCTTCAAAATATTAGGCATACAGATGAAATGTCTAATTTAGTTCTTTAGGTTGCAAAACAACTTGAAAATTAGAAATTTACTCATTCCTACTTCTGTGTATGTGCTGCGTGCTTATATGGGCAGACACGAGTTACGGATATAGACCTTTCTGACCTTCCACTATTTCTTAAGATTTCCCCTCCGTTTAATATGTTATGCAATTCTGTCCAGGTTGAAATGATTCTGCAAGCATTGGAATACGAAATGGGTAAAATGTTTCACTCTTTTGCTGTAACTTTGTTGGCTTTCTTGTCCTCGTTTGATATTTTTATTCCCGTAACAGAACACGGAAAGGTGCTGGATGAGTTCTTCATTTCGACAGCAGGTAGATCGATTTATATTGATGCTGATTAGAGAAGGAAAATTTGTGTTTTCTGCTATTTGTAACTATTATTTTTTGTTTGACTTTTGTTTCCCCAGGCAAATTCCAAACTGAACTAGGAAGAAGTTGGGCAGCTGAGATCATTGCTAGAAGAAATTCACGGTTGGGCAATACTCGCGACTGATTTCTTCATGTAGTAACATTCGATGCCAAGCCTCCTTTTAGAAGTTGGCCGTCACCCAGCCGCACAAGTTCCTTGTTAACCATTTTCGTCTTCTCACATAAAAGGAAAACAACGATCTTCTATTCCAGAATCCAGAGATCCCGGTAAGATCTGCATTTGCAGCTGTGCAATCCGAGCATGCATCCATGGAGGCCCTGGTGGAAGAAAAGGTATTCTAATTTCAACTAGATTAAGCTGTTGCCTGAACACAACACTCGAAAGGGTAGTTTCCGTGAGCCTTCGGCTTCAAGTTAGTTCAGTACTTCTCGTTTTTCATTTTCCCAATTAGTTAGTTTCTTTTCCATGTACTGAAAATACACTGATTAGAGAAACTTATCTGCACATGTGATGTTACGTCATGGTTGCAGTAACTCAACCTTGACATGGCGTGATTGGTTTATGATACCGTAATATTTACATGACATGTGGCATCGTTTGAACAATGATGTACAAGAATATGAGGAATCCGGATCCTCTTTGTGAGGATCTCTAGGATCTGTAAATCGTATCGGTTAATCGTATATCGTGCAGTCAGAAATTATTTTAAATATTTTTATTTAAAAATAAAAATAAACAGTACTTGACAAAAGGTAACTATACGATATACGATGAATGAACATGATTTACAGATCTTTGAAATCCTACCAAAAAGATCCTGTTTGGAAAATGATGTCAATGTGCAGGGAGTAGAGTATGGGAACCTCCACGTTGCGTTGTGGTTGCAACTTGCATGTGTGTTTTTACTATATTTGGGCTTTTCTTTATCATGACGTCATCATTTGGGCTGGAGAGAATTAATAGTGTGCGCACGTGTGCCTTGTGTCTCGGATTTACTTTTGCTTTTTATCCGTAAGGCCACGTCGACACTTTCTCGATGTTTGAAAAAGTCATCGTTTTGCCAAAAAAATGGAACCCACTTACCGACATAGAAATCCTTTTAGGTTAATTAATCTCATGCAAGTATATTAACTTTAAAATTTCAATTTAAAGAAATAAAGGATCCGTTAATTTTAAATTATGATGAGGGAATTCAAACTTCGTACATAAAAGAAGAGATCTTACTTTACCCGATCTTTATATATAAGTAGTCATTTTTTGTCAAATCTCCCATGATTGAGATTCTTTCCATTCGGATACTAGAAATCCGAGGAGATAAAGAGGAAGAAGAGAAGATCGAGGGGATAGGGAAAGATAAGAGAAGAAGAAGATGAACAGAAAAAAAAAAAAAAAAAAAAAGAGTGAAGAGAAGTGCATCGTTTCCAACGAGAAAGCAAACAAAAAGTTGAATAATTTATGATCGTTGGATCTAGAGAAGAAGAAAATTTTAATTGTGACAAGAACATAAGTGATACATTATGTGTTTAAATATAAATTGTGAGATCCTATTCCCATATGATATGATGGTGGAGGAGCTTCACGGGGCAGCAGCAACAAGTACGTGGAGGAGCTTCACGGGGCCGCTGGGCAGAAAAAGCAGCCAAAGATGGAATAATTCGAGCACATGACCTGACCCACCTCCACTTAGAAATATTTTTCCAATTTCTGCAGACATCTTATGTAAGAGAGACGTAACGGAGACCCACTTTGAAATATTCGAGCGCTCCTCCTAATAAATTATAAAATCCCAACACAAAAACAAAATTGGTTAATCTTAATCCATGGCGGGCCCGCCCCACCAGATTACAGCCGCTATTTCAATAATCATAATACCATGTGCTAATCAAGGCAACATATATTTGACAGGGGAAGAGGATCCTCTCCTGAGCTGATCACAAAATTCGGACCGTTCAAATTTAATCTAACAGCTTCAAACAGGAGGGTTTTCTAAAAGTTATAATAATTGTAACCGTTGAATTAAATTTGAACAGTTTGGATTTCGTGATCAGAATGATCCCTATCCTGAACTCATAAGAGGATCCTCTTCCTTGATAGGGGACCCGATAGGTAATGAATTCTCAATAAAACAAAATAAAAGATTATACTCTAAGATTGTCCCTGTTCCCATCGGGGATATACATATACATATACATATATTTGTGTGTGTGTGTGTGTGTGTGTATTATATATGTAGGGGGAATGTGCAACATCATTTTTTCACACAATTTTTATATGTATTTTTTTAAGATTTACTCTGTTATGTATTTTAACGATTTGAATCGTCCATATTTTAGAACATCATTTATTGGTCATTCTTGCAAATTAGAAATTCAAAACTATTAAGATATTTATTTGTAGTGGAAAAAATGGATTATACAGCTCTACAAAGAAACCCTAAACCCTTAATCCAACACTCATATGGTTTTAGATTTGAGTGGTTTTTGGTAGACGTATTTGGGTGATTTTTTAGGGAATACCTAAAAGATAGACAGTTCAAATCTTAAACCAAATTGTGTAAACCAAATGATGCGGTTGTTAATGATTGAATTATTAATTAAGTATCAATTAACATGCTTATTTTCTATTAATGACACGTTATTTGATTTGTAAATTTGGTTTGAAATTTTGTCTCATGTCCCATTTAAAAAGAGAGATAGATGGACTAAGCTGGACTTGTTGGCATTAACGAATGGAGTCAAAACTCGTGGCTCCACAAGTAAACTCCAAAACACTACAGCCACATTAAGCACGGTGATTATTCTATTTATTTATATAGTATTAAATTGTGTTTAAGACAAATTCAACATCTTAGGAAGGTGTGTATTTTACTAATTTAATCATCATAATAGTGGATAATTCCACTTTATATGACAGCTTACGTAATCACACCCCACAAAAACAATATCTCTCATCCCCTTTCAGACTTCGAAGATTTGGGCAGGAATATACCCCACTAATATTATGATATTTCTCTCCATGTAAAAATCACAAGAGGAATATCATAATATTATTTATTCCTCCTAAAATATTATTTTACAAATACTATTTTAAAATATATTATTTATCTATATTCAACAAAAAATAATATTTTTTTTTTTTTATCGAATATATAGGATATTTGAAAGCAAACAAGTGGAAAAACTCCAAACACTAAAGATTTAAGGGGCAATTGACCAAATAGCGCAATGCGTTTACGTTGCGTCGAACTAAATGGACGTTAAGAAAAAATCCAACCACATTAGTCTGTCAATATTTATTATTTTTATTCAACTAAAACACAATAAGATTTTGGAAAATGGCGTCAAACTATAATAATTATTCTTTGCGAGTCGTTTTCAGTACATTTTGGGGACCCCACAATCCGTGTCCCTGACTTCCCTCCCTGTGTGGTGAGCTTCCAGTGCCCGAGAGGCGAGGAAGTTTCAAGAGATCAAAGTTCACGATTTTTGTTTGTCCGCCTTTGACGAAGTGAAAGGTAAGTCTTTCCGGATTTCACCATCTGGGGTTTGAATTTTAGTACCAGCTTTTGATAATATTGCTGCTTCTGCTGCATTTGGTCACTAAAAGTTTGGATTTTTAAGTGTTCACATTAGAGAAAGATTGCTAATTTGATTTCTGTAGAGTTAGAAATATATCTCACTTTGAAGTTAGTGATCTGGAAAACCTGGTTTCTGAGTTGGGCTTCTGGGATTTTGATCACAGAAGAGTTGTTTGAGGTTTTAGAGGTGTTTGGTTGGTGGAGTTTGGTGGTGGGGAATTTTGGGAGTTCCATTTTTTTTTAAGTTTTTGGAGATGTTGGTTTGACGAAGACTTGAAATTTGTGACTTGGGTTTTTCTCAAAACCTTGGCATTTGTATGAAAGCTCTGAATTTTGTGAAAATTTTGAAGATTTCATGATTGAATGAAGGTTGTGGTGGGTGAGTTGTATGGTACCCATCACTTGATTTTGGTGTAATAAGATGGCAACCACGTCGCCATCTCCAAATTCGTCTCCATCCGCCTTGCCGCCAGCTTCTGATACTACTTTAACACCGCCGCCACAACCACCGCTAACCACCACACCGACACCGTCTTCTCAGCGGAATTTGGTTTCACCAGAGTCCTCTAACGCCACAGCTCAATCTCCAGAACCTGTTGTCCCATCAGCTCCTCCTCCAACTACATCATCACCACCTCCAACTCCACAAGCTGCTTCACCGCCAACCTCGCCGCCACTGCCTCCCTCCAATGTACCTCCACCAGCTTCCGATTCTTCACCCCCACCATCATCCGGTACACCTCCAACAACTTCTGGTTCTCCAACCCCTCCATCATCAACTCCATCCCCTCCATCGACTCCACCGAAAAGTTCGCCTTCTCCACCACCACCGACATCTGATCCACCTGCAAGTTCACCTCCACCGCCGCAATCTCCCCCACCTGAGAGTCCACCTCCACCTTCTTTAAAGCCGCCTGAAACTTCACCACCGCCACCTGAGAAGTCTCCTCCGCTTCCATCATCAAATCCCCCTGAGACTTCACCACCACCGCCACCATCATCAAAGCCACCTGAGAAGCCTTCTCCACCTCCATCAGCAAATCCCCCTGAGACTTCACCACCACCGCCACCATCATCAAAGCCACCTGAGCAGTCACCTCCGCCTCCATCAGCAAATCCCCCTGAGACTTCACCACCACCGCCACCATCATCAAGGCCACCTGAGCAGTCACCTCCGCCTCCATCATCAAGTCCCCTCAAAACTTCACCACCACCGCCACTGTCATCAAAGCCACCTGAGCAGTCACCTCCGCCTCCATCATCAAGTCCCCCAAAAACTTCACCACCGCCACCATCAGACCCACCAGGGAAGTCACCCCCACCTCCAGCATCTGTGCCACCCAAAAGTTCACCTTCACCACCACCATCAACCCCCCCTGAAAGTTCACCTCCTCCACCAGCATCAGTACCTCCCAGAAAAGCACCCCCACCTCCGAGCCGTACTCCTCCCACCACACCTGGTTCTCAACCAACCACTTCACCTCCACCACCCATTATAGGACCGGCACCACCTCCCCTCTCACAGGCTTCTCCGCCTGCACCTCCTCAAATTCCTAGTTCACCAACAAACACTTCCAGTGCAAAGGCACTACAGAGTTCAAATTCCAATGGCATTGGTACCGGAGGCGTAGTGGCAATTGTTGTACTGGTAGGGGCAGTAGTGCTTAGCCTCATTGGATTGATTGTATGGTGCATGAGGAGGCAAAGGAAAAAAGTATCCGGGTTTGAAGGTTATGCTAAGCAATCCTCTCTGGGTTCATCCCCAACATCAGGTAACCTCTATCGTATATAACACAATTGATTTCTTGTTATGTTATTCACTTCGTATGAATGTGGGATTTTCCGTTTATTGTTTCTAAATTACAATGAATTCAACGTACTTTTTAGGAATTTATTTAGCCTCACTAAGATCAGGGTATGGGATGAATTAATCAGCTCATATAAACCACTGTATTCTGTCTGTCCACAAATTTGAGGCCATTTAAATGAATTAAGAAGGTTTCTGTAACTTGTTTCCAGATTCATCCTTCTTGAAGGTGCATTCTTCAGCTCCCCTTATTGGAAGCCATTCTAGCAGTGAGATCTTAAGTCCTCCACCAGAACAAGCAGGAGTTGGCAATTCAAGGCCATGGTTTACTTTTGAAGAACTGGCTAAGGCCACAAATGACTTTTCATCTCAAAATCTTTTGGGAGAAGGCGGATTTGGTTGTGTTTATAAGGGATGCCTACCAGATGGGAGAGATGTGGCAGTAAAACAACTAAAAATTGGAGGAAGTCAGGGCGAGCGAGAATTCAAGGCCGAAGTTGAGACTATTAGTCGCATACATCACCGCCATTTGGTTTCTATGGTGGGATACTGCATCTCTGATAACCGAAGGCTGCTTGTCTATGAATATGTCGCTAACAATACCCTTTATTTTCACCTTCATGGTAAATCTATAACAGAGCTTTGAAGAAACAGTTAGTGATAATGGTTCAGTATTCTCATGTTTTGCACCTTGCAATTTTCAGGAGAAGGTAGACCAGTTCTGGAGTGGGCAACACGTGTTAAGGTTGCTGCTGGTGCAGCTCGTGGGATCGCTTATCTTCATGAAGACTGTAATTTTGTACCTTTAGTTTCTGGATTCTAATAGCTGAATGTTTCGGTTATTATATCCTCATACAATAGTTTTTTGGGTCACATAATTTAACTGGAAATGTTTTGTTGACTAAGTTTGGTTTCATTTGTCTAATGTCAGGTCATCCTCGAATTATTCACAGGGACATAAAGTCGTCAAACATTCTTTTAGATAACAACTTTGAAGCTCGGGTACAACATAATTTCACTCAGAGCACGTTTCAGTACTTCTATATTTTGTTTAAAATGTAGCTCATGGTTTCCTTACTTTACAGGTTTCGGATTTTGGACTTGCCAAATTAGCTCTTGATTCAAATACGCATATAAGCACACGTGTCATGGGAACATTTGGGTACGTCAGCAATCTAGTGTTGGCTCGTATGCTTTCCGCTTGTATGAGGATTCTTCTAGATTTTAGTTTATACCGTCATCACAAACATACCTTTCAAGCCTGATAATGTATTGATTCCGGTTGATTTTCAGATACGTGGCTCCTGAATATGCATCAAGTGGGAAATTGACTGACAAGTCTGATGTTTACTCTTATGGAGTTGTGCTTCTGGAGTTGATCACTGGAAGGAAGCCTGTAGATCCATCCCAACCCTTGGGAGATGAGAGTCTAGTTGAATGGGTAAACTTAACATCCTCTTATCATACTGGACATATCATGCTGCAGTGTTTATATTGCTTTGCTTCAACCGATAATAAGATTTTGATTTTTCTGGTCGAATATTTTGAAGTCTCAATTTAGTGAATTAGATCTTCTGACCCTATGGTTTTTAAGCAAGGAATGAAATAAAACTTCAGAATCATCCTAAAGAAAGAAATATTTATGCATGAAATCATTACTACTCTCTGAGTATGCTGTCAATAATTGTGTGGATTCGGGGGGTACAATTTAATTAGTCTCGCCTTCGTTGTGAATTCATTTCAATTTTTTCAGAAGTGCATGGATAAATGCATGAGTAAGATGTGAGACTCGAGATGCATTATAGTTATAGAATGAAATAAAACCGTATAGTTAACCAACTGAATGTTATAAGGTCAAACCCAAGCTTTCCTGACAAGAGACGCATTTTACTTTCCAGGCACGGCCGTTGTTGAGTTATGCTCTTGATAATGAGGATTTTGACGGCGTGGTAGATCCAAGGCTTGAAAAGAATTATGTGGATACTGAAATGTTCAGAATGATCGAGATTGCTGCTGCTTGCGTGCGACATTCATCTGCTAAGAGACCACGAATGGGTCAGGTAATAAGAAGCTGAAATTTCCTTATTATGTGAATTCATTCATTACACCAGCGTAAACTAACATCATCGTTCTCACTCTCCTCAGGTTGTTAGAGTTTTTGATAGTTTCGCTGCTTCTGATATAAACAACGGAATGAGAGTGGGGGAAAGTGAGGCATTTGACTCGGCACAACAATCAGCTGAAATTAGGTTGTTCCGAAGAATGGCATTCGGTAGTCAAAATTACAGTACAGTTTTTTTTAGCGGAGAGGTATAGTACATATTCGGAGAGCTAAACACTGAACTGAAAAGGGTTTTGCCAAATTGAGCTAGATTTGGATTCGCTCAGCTGGAATCCCGATCTTCCAGCAACCGGAACTGACTGCATCGGATGTAGAGACTGCATTCGTTCCATCCTTCCTGTAAAGGTCCAGCCCCTGTAATTATTTAGCCTTTGTAAGATGATCTTGTTGCACCCACCAATATTTTTGGTGGTGTTATAGAGGTAATAATTCATTTTTGTTAACCATGGATCCTATTCTTCTCTCTTTTGCTTCCTCTGTTTCACAACTCCATGTATTGAGATTTATACGCGACAATCTCAGTTCGAAAATACGTACTCATCTTTCAGTTGCAAATAGGATGCGTCACAATTTCATGGAAGTACCTACAGGAGTCGAATGTTGTTCTAAACTTTGCCAGGTCGTTAAATCGGCCTGCAGGGCTGCCCTATCACCCACAGAAACGCAAAAATCTTGAGTATACCCGGGGATATATTCTTACAAGTGTCTCAAACGTCGCGTGCTAAAATATTTGGGGTACAATGTGAACTGGGTTTGCAAATATAAAGGGGGAGGGCTTGTTTGAAGGATAGCTCTGTGACACCTTGTATGGAAATGCTTAAAGCCATCAAAGAAATCTTCCACCGAGGAGAAGTATAAGTCAAGTTATATCCTCCTTCCGACTTTTCGATCTTCCCATTCGTTACCTGTGGGCCCTTCTTCCCCTAATTCTTTTCCAAAGTCTCGATAGTCCGCTCTTGGTCTTTTAAGGTGGTTTCGTTTGCTTTCTTTGACTAGATGAATGAAATCGAGATATTCCGTTTTTATGCTTTCTTTCACATCCTACTATTTTAATATATCACGTCGAGTCTGTTTGTCATAGTTTTAATTAAATTAGAACATCGCTTTAGAAAAAAAATATATATTAAATTGCATACAATGATTGAAGTCATGACTCGTACAATGCCACATCAATGATTGAAGTCGCCCTTCCTATTACCTCTCACAAAGGCAAGGAACTTCTTCCTTAACACCACCACCACCACCGGGGCATGAAGACTTCTTTAAACTGTTTTCTCCACCACCACCACCCCTTTCCTCCCGATTATCGCAGCCATGGAAGACTGCAACATGACCGCCGCACACTGCATCGTGATTTCGTGCTGCAGCCAGTGCTTGATCCTCCAAATCACCATCTTCATCTTGTACAAGCTCCCTTGCAAGTTGATCCGAAAGACGAGAGAGTACACCGTGAAGAAGCTCCAACAGAGAGGAGAAAGGAGATGATAGTGCTGGATACATGTAAAGATGTCGACTTTGTGAGTATTGTTGGAGAGTCTATGAGATCTTCCATGGATGCAGGACATAGTTGCAGGAGTTGCATGGAGGAGGTGGAGGAGGTACTGCAGGAGTTGTCTCAGAGAGGAGAGTTTGGATTTGGAAGCTTTTGGCGTAGGGGAGAATTGGGTCGCTCCTCAACTCAAAAGTCATCAATTTGTGATCAGTTTGATACTAGTTTTTTGCAACATCACTTGATTGAAATGGTGGCTCTCTCAGCTATTGATCATAAAGTTGGGTAGCTATTCAATCGCCAAAAAACTTACCTGCAACATGTTTAGTACGTATTTTATTTTTTGCATCTCGCGTCATGTGTCATCTCTTGTCACACAATTAACTGCGTGAGAACAAGTGCACACTGACGAGTAGTTTTATTGTCAGTTCCAATACGAAAATTAATTCCATATGCATATATATGACATCTCTTGATACAAATCAAAGCCTTAGATTCTTAATCCTTATCATACTTCTCGAATGTAATGACATCATCCTTATAAATTTCAAATAATTCTTTTGTTTTTCACTTTGAAATATTGTCACACGTCTACATAACACTACCGAACCATGTCAACTTAAACTGAAAATTCCACATCACATAAATTCTTCAAATTGAATCCCGAATATTCTTTACCCAATTATGTTATTTCTCAAAGAATTTTTTCAATGTGTTAGAAACATGGTCCGGCACACCAAGTATTATAATATAAGTGGTTTGATATTTAAAAAAAAAAATAACTTCTTGGATTATGATATTTGATGTACCAGATCGTGTTTCCGATACATTAAAAAATTCCTCGTTAACTTGAAATGATTTAACACTTGTCGCAGCCGGGGCTGTTCTTGATGGGGCACAATAAAAGTTGTCCAAGTTAACTTTTGGGCTAAACACCTCTGCATGAGTTTTATTTTTATTTTCGTGAAAATTGATATCAAACTCTGAGTGCATGATAACAAATACGTTGTTTTGATCAACTAACCACACCCTGCCACCCACACACACCAATGCGTTGAATTTAGTTTGAAACCTACAAATCAACACTCTAACTGACATTAAACTCGAGTGCATGATAACAAATACGTTGCTTTGATCAACCCACCTCACCCACACACACCAATGCGTTGAATTTAGTTCGAAACCTACAAATCAACACTCTATTGCCAAAATAGAAAAACACGTTTAAGTCCTAAATATGGTTAATCAACAAACAACTCCTACTAAGTAGCATCCCCCAATATATAACCACGTAGCAAAATATTAATCACTCTATCAAAAACGCGTTTCCAGTTTTCAAACTTTTAATCCAAACACAACAAAAATTAAAACAAAAACAAAAAAAAAACACAAACAAAAGGAAACCCCAAAATCTCAAACCAATCAACCCAAAAAAAATATCCCCAAATTAAACGCCAAAAAACTACAAAATTATAGTCGTCTGGATCTCTCGATCCCTTTCTTCTTCTTCTCGGCCGCCATTACAATAATGATGGCCGCGCTCGGATCCGATCAGCTGAAGCAGCTGAAGGACATCTTCATGCGGTTCGACATGGACTCCGACGGGAGCCTCACCCAGCTCGAACTCGCCGCCCTCCTCCGCTCCCTCGGCCTCAAGCCCACCGGCGACCAGCTCCACGTCCTCCTCTCCAACATCGACGCCAACGGCAACGGCGCCATCGAGTTCGACGAGCTCGTCACCGCCATCCTCCCCGACATGAACGAGGAGATTTTGATCAACCAGGAGCAGCTCATGGAGGTCTTCCGATCCTTCGATCGCGACGGCAACGGCTACATCACCGCCGCCGAGCTCGCCGGTTCCATGGCCAAAATGGGCCACCCCTTGACGTACCGGGAGCTCTCCGATATGATGATGGAGGCCGACACGAACGGCGACGGCGTCATTAGTTTCAACGAATTCGCGACGATCATGTCTCGGTCCGCCGCTGATTTTCTTGGGCTCTGACCGCCTCTGGCGCGGGTATGATGGGTTCTGGATTGTTTGACTTTTTTCGCTGACTTTTATTTTTATTATTTTTTTCTTTTTTCTTGTGTGGGTTTTTTAGGGCATGTCTTTGCTTGTATAGGATTTCTTGTGTCTGAAGAAAAGGAAGAATTAAGAGAAAGTATATACATTGATTAAAATAATGTTGGAGACATGCTAATCAAGGCTCTTTTTAGTTAATTAAGATTAGAATTACCAACTAATTACAAACAAATCTTGTAAGTATTTTTGTATAAATAATAATTTGTGTTAACATGCATGTCATTCTTAATTCTCTTGGAATATGATTTGGTAATTCAACGTGAACTTGGTCTCCGGCATGGTGAGAGAGATTCAAGAATATGTCTTTATAACTAATTGTATATTTCGTGAGAAATAAACGTAGAGACATACAACCGGGGATAGCTAAGAATCTCTTCTTACATGAACATCAGAGTACGAAATTACTTTTTGAAGAAAAGACGAAAGATTTTGAATTAACCACATAATGGCATTGGATTTTCTTTAATGTTCATCTAATGGTTTCTCCATCTAGATTTCCTTTCTTATGTCATTAATACAAGAAAAACATCTCGTTTTTCAAAAACTAAGAATCGTTTGATAATCATTTCATTTCAGGTTTTAGCGTTCATTTTTATTATTGAAAAAAGGAAAAGGGAGAATTCCTAAGAAGAAAAAAACAGAAAATTGAGGAAGAAAACACAAGTATTGAATCGTGCAACATATTTTTTCACCTTGTATCAAAATTTACACGCTCTAAATCTAACACAGCTCAAAAGTGCTTCTGTACAAAGTAATTATCTAGCTACAAGGGCCCAATCCCAGAACAAATTTGAACCAAAGAATTTTGTTGTATAATATTATATGCAACCCAATGATGTACAAAACGCAGAGTTCCAAAACTTGGGAGTGATTGAAGAAGCTGGTATTTTTTTAGACCACCTATAACAAACAAGAAGCATACAAAACTTATCTACGGTAATGGTGTCTATCTTTTATACGGTTGGCCCTCGCCGCCAATCGCGCCGTGAAACCAACAGTCTGCGGCCGGAACGATCTCTGCCGCACCATGTCACAAAATTTGGGATCATTTGATGTTCCCTCGTACCGTATCCATTGTATCGTTCTATGGTACATAGGGAAGAACCGCATTTCAACGGCTGAGTATGTGAAGAATAGGATTAGACCGGAGACTGGCACGAAGATTGTGATGAGCCAGAAAGAAGGCGTGGGGGCGAGGGCTTCGATGAAGATTTTGTAGGCAGTGGTTGAGAGTGAAGGTGACATGGCACCGTAGGCCAAGAGGAAGAGATACCACAGTGCAATTGAACCCCAGATGAAGAGGTGCTGTATCAAGGTGAAGTAACTGATGGCAAGTGCCATCTGCAAGTTCACAACCCAAACTGTGCATGTGTACATTGTTGCCCCGAGGATATCCCTTCCGGCAGTTTTGCCCTCGCTGTTGAAGGCCTGGTGTGCTAGCGCTTTCGTGCAGAAGAAGAAGATAATCGCAGGCCGTTGCGAACCCATTCAACATCCATCCGAATATTCTACGCCAGCTGAAGAGAATATTTTGCACCCCTTCTTGGTATAAGAGAGGAAACTGCCACACAAAACAGGATAAACAATAAATCCCAACGGTTTCAAAACAAGGCTTCAAATTAAGTATGTTAGTCCAAACGTAATTTCACATGTAACCCAGTGAGCTTACCTTGAAACAGAACCGCGCAGATACATCCTGGTCGAAAACTCCCATAGCAACCACCGGAAGTGAAGAGAAGAATACGTTGTAAAGTGACAAAAACCAATCATTGTATGCAGGCGTTCCAGAGAAGGATGTGTGTGCCTCATATAAGAAGAGAGTGAAACCAAATGCAATGTTCTTGTAGAAGAAGTAGCAAATCTGCAAGGAGAAAATTGCACACGTCAATTTATAGTATGCATCAGTTATCGCCTGTGATAATTTAAAATAAGTCGCCACATTGTCAAGATTCTAAAATCTCAAGTTTGTTTCGTAGTATATGACATGCATACCATTGATGAGATCCTTCTGTAACACCAATGCCCGTGCACAAGCAGTAGACGCTCCAAGTATTGAAACTGTGCAATAGCAATATCGCTTGACATGACCGCCTGAATTGAAAAATAAGCATGGAAAGTTAATGAGACAAAAGTTTAGAGAAAAATACAGCGAAACAAAAATTAATGTTCGGTTAAACAAGTGGAAGAATCTGTACAGTACCTGCATTCCTTCAACACCACTAATTCCAACCCCAATATCTGCTTCTTGGAGCATGCCCACGTCATTGGCTCCATCACCGATCGCTAGTGTTGTTTTCCCAGTTCCAGATTTTACCAGTCTAGTGACCTATTTTTCATTTCATCATTGAAAACAAATTAATTCTTTTCTGACCATGATATAAGAAAATACTTATGAAGGTACAGAAAAGAAAAAGATTATTATAATCTGCAAACGCACCAGTGCCTTCTGTTTAGGTGATGAACGGCAGCAAATAACAGATGCACAGCCAATTGCAAGATTTAGAAACAAATTCTTTACATCATCCTCCAAAGCATAAGCAAGTGATTTTCCATCAATGATCAATGCAAATGCCTCAGAGTTCCTGCTCGATGCTGTAAGCTGAGCTTTTCCCCTATTTATCTGATTGAGAACACTTCCTTTTGATGCCTAATGATGAATCAGCAAATATCGTATCAGCATGATTATTAAGGTACTATTATATTTTTCAAGAACACGGTTTTACCTCCTTGAGTATTAAGCTACAGATTCTGTTTTCAATGCAGAAACAAATTCAACTATATGCATATAGTTTTACCGTGGCGATGGCCTCCTTTTCTCCTTCCTTTTCTAACACTTTAATCTCCGGAGACTCCAAAGTGATTACAATTTGCTTCATTCCTTGTCTAAGCAAGCTACATGCAAACCCGATATTGATGGCAGTCTCCATCTTGTCTCCAGTCAAAACCCAAATCTTAATTCCTGCTTGGGCAAGCTTGTCAATGCAATCAGGAACCTGACCAAAAAAGATAGAAAGAAAACATTAATTCAAAATCTGATATCGTCCATAAAGAAACTTCCATGTTACCCCATCAGTGTTTGACTACATACCCCATTTTGTAGTTTGTCCTCAACAGCAGTTGCACCAAGAAGAATTAGATCTCTCTCAATCTTTTCTGTTACTTCATCAATGACTGTTTCACGTTCTGCACTAACAGAATTCTTGGCCTTGATAAAATTTTGATTGAACTCTTTGTATTTGTCTTCCTCAAGTTCACGGTAGGCAAGAATCAAGGTCCTCAGCCCTGCATCAGCATACTCATTTAGATGCTCCATGGTCTCTTCTTCAAAATCCGAACCATTTCTGGCAAGCCTCTCTAGCATAACACTGGACAAAAAATAAGTTATGCTGGTTAGAAAAAACAGTTTAAATTAGCAGTAAGAAGTAAGGAGAGATTCAAGTTTAAGGCAGTGAGCGCATACTTGTCGGCACCTTTGGATAGTAATAGTATTTTTCCTCCCTCACTTCTGACAATCACAGACATTCGCTTCCTTGTGCTGTTAAACTCTAAAACATTGAGAAGGCTATACGTCCTGCAAAAAAGACATCACTCGATGAATATACTCTCCGCATTACTTATTAAGAGTACCAGCATAGATTTAAAGGTCCTACTTATCAGAAAAACAATGAAATGTACAAACCTCTCAACCTTCTTGCCGGACACTGGATCTAACTCTCGCAGTGATATGGTTGTTTGTGTCCTTTTGTAGAATTCAAAACCAAGTTCTCTTGCTGCAATCACAAATGCTGCTTCATCAGGAGATTCAGCCTCATATGAAATATTCCCAGTAGCTTCATCAACTTCCGGAATTGCCGTATGACAGATTGCTAATAAACTGAAAAACTTCTGGATGTATTCTGCATAAGGCTCATTAACCCAGTTTCCATTCATGACCCTTTCGTCCTTAAAATTAAAGCCCTTGATGGGTGCCTTGCCATCAGTAGAGTCCTTGAGATTGTCCCCACCACTTAAATGTTGATGAACCAAAGGTGAACCATTTCTCCTACCCATAGCCCTCTCGACCTCAGTATATCCTCGGCCATAAGCTGTTCCGGCCACAGAACATTTAATAAACTCCATTGAATTGCAGGTCAGAGTTCCAGTCTTATCAGACAGAATCGTGTCAACTTGGCCAAGTTCCTCATTCAAGTTTGAGGTACGGGCATGTGCTGGTTTGTCAGCTTCCTCATAGTACATGTGAATATCTTGATTGATGAATATGCTCTGAAGAACTTTGACAATTTCTATTGACACATACAAGGAGATGGGGATAAAGTAGCCATACAACATTAGAGCTGTCAAAAAGTGGTAAATTGCTGCATACGGAGCTCTTTTAGCATCAAAGAAAATTCTAGAATTATCTGGCCTGAGATACCACCTTTTCATGATCCCATTGTTTAGGTCATCTTTTGTTGCAATCCCAAAGTAAATCGAACCAACAAATGCCATTGTGAATAAAACACAGAACAAGAAGTAGATAATTTTATCCATCTTCTTCTCAACTCTGCTTCTTTTTGAAGGAGGGGCAGTAGAATTTTGAATAACCTTTGTGTCGGGACCAGTGAAGATAACAGCTCCATATATGTAGTCTGTATTTCTTAGTTTAGAGTCTCTGAGGAGAAGCTGTTGAGGAGAGAGGGGAAACTGTTGCTTGTCAAACTCCATAGTTCCAACAAACGAGTACAAATTTGCATTTGGGTCTTCACATTTAACAATGGCGTTAAAATCGTTGAAGTTAGAGTCCTCCTGCAAGAACGAAGTTACTTCCAATGCTTGTTTTAACTTTAAATTTGTCTCCCCATCAAGATTCATGGTCTCAACATAGCAGATTGCATCGTCATAACTGGATGAAAGTAAGAGGAGGTCTGTCGGAAAGAATTCATCTTTTTCTACTCTCACTATATCTCCCACTCTCAGATTCCTCCAAGCAGTATAATCAAAAACGCCATTACCATAATGTACTTTAACCTTTCGATTGTTCACCTCAATATCCTGGAAAATCATCGCACTTGTAATATTACATAATCGCAGGTGATAGTATAGCAGAACCAGCAAATGATTTGTAAACAACAAAGCAGGTAAGATACATGGCACAGTCAAACAATTCAGTTTCAGCATATCTTCAAGAGAGCTGGAAAATCTAGTTTGATTATCCTCCTCCACGCCTCGGAAAACTTTCATTCAATAAATTTCCTCATCAATTCTAACTCCCAATATAGTTATAGTAAAATTCAACAGTTAAAATTCCTCAACTGCTAACCTAAGTCATTGAAATTTTAAGGGAAAGGGAAAGAAAAACAATCAAAATAGAGAGCCAAACCGAGGAAGAAAAACCAGTACCTGCTGTTTTCGCCGCCAATCTTCGATACCCTCTTTCACCATGGTCGCCCCAATCACAATAATAAGAGGGATGATCGCGCTGACAGCGGTAAATGGAGCCAGAGGAGTGAATGCCAAAGTGCCAGTGACTAAGAAGTAGAAGTTGGCCACCCTTCTGAACTGCTCAAACAAAGATTTTGGCAAGAAAGTAGCAACTGTATACTTTGTGCTCCTAACATAATTGTCTCCATAATTTCGCATATGAGCCTCGAAAGAGTCCGGTTCATTGCAGTAAACCACTCGGGAATATCCCGGTCCCCCAATTTGTGAATGTTCATCTCTCATAGAAGATTTACCACAAGTGAAAGAATAGATCTTGCTGAAATGCAGCTTTCTCCTTCTGCCTCCACCCCTCATATTTTCTCTGAACTCCCTTTCACTCTACAACAAGCTCCAACCAACCCCAATTCCAAAACCAACACAAACCCAACTTACAAGGCTAAAAGCTGCTTCTGATTTCCCAATCCTCACTAATTAATGCAACTTCTTCAAGAGGAATAGAATCCAAAAGCAGTTTTGAATATGTATCGCCTAGTGAAAACAACAGGTACCAACTTCTGCAGCCGCTTCTTGAAAAGCAATTCCTCAGTGAAGAAAACAGCTACTTTCTTCCAAAAAAGGACAACCCAGAGCAAGAACCCAGTTCCACAACCCCCCAAGAATTTACAAATATTGAACACAGAGACCCAAAAGAGGGGCCAAAATCCCAGAAAGTAAATAAAATTTTCTCAGGCAGAAAGCTCAGAACGCCAGTCAATAAAAGACAAACAAATTTGGTATTACACAGAGAGAAAGAATAAACAAAAAGAAAGATTTTTTACAACCTGAATGGTAAAAAAAACAAAAAAAGGTTTACTGATAAGCACACAGCTTTTCCCTTTTGCACACCCAGCTTTCTAATCTGCGGACCCAAAGTTGTAAACTTTTACACACAACAGAAAAAAACCCAGAAATCCAAACCCAAAAATAAGAAGGAAAAAAGAGTTGGGAAATATGGGTTTTATATGAATACTACTCGGGTATTTGAAATTTTCTCTAAAAATTGCAGCTTTGGACGGAGACTTGGATTTGATCTCGCATTTTGACTCATGTCAAGAACAAGCATTTGCCTTTCGGGTTTTTGTTTTTGAAAATTGATTTCAAAAACTCAGCTGCTTTCCCCAGGGAGGAAAACGGAATTATCGAATTGAAAAATGAAAGGGGTTGACGGGGGAAGGTTAGAAGATTGGTTTGGCTAATGGGAATTTCCGGGAAAGTTGAGTTTCGCTGGAAAGGTGGGAGGGAAGCTCCTCGTCAATGGTGGTGACTGTTATGCTCTGTCTCTCTCTCTGCTTTCTTATGTGGGAAATGGTCTTCTCCTTCTTGTCCCTTTCTCTGTGGAACTTGATTAGAGAAGTCCCTAAATGATTTGCATTAATTTTCTGATGCAATGATTAATCAGCAGATTAACTCATTAATCAGAGGGAACGCAGATAGAGACAGGGGCAAGAAATTAGACAAATCCAAACGCTTTTGTCAAGCAAAAAATAAAAACAGAGATCTCTGTTTTTATTTTTTGCTTACCGGAATTTTCCCACACTTTATTTTTTCCACCGTAATCAGGTTGGAAACTGGATTTTATTTGCAGACTAATTTCTTCTTTCTTTTTTTTTTTTTGTTTAAGCATTTTTTAATTGGTTGAAATAAATTTAATAAAAAAATAAAAATTAAGGAATTGTATTTAAAAAATTAAAAATAAGGAGTTTTAGACGGGATCTGCGGGTCAAACACTCGTACAGCCAAGCACCAATGCTCTCGTTCTAACATCACATGTTGCACTTTTTCTTGCATTTTTATTTGTTTCATTTTAGTTTGTAATGTTTTGTACTTTTAAATTCGAGGCACTTGTTTGGTTTAAAGACCAAAAGCAAAAGCTTTTTCTTCGTAAATCCAACATAAGGGAACCAAAAAACTTTTGTTTCAAATGAAAAACTTGTTTAAAAGTATTTTTAAAATGATTAAAAACGTTTTAGTGAAGTTAATTTTTGTTTTCAAAAATATTTTAAGTGTTTTTTTTTGTAAAGAAACATTTAAATATTTTTCTAGGTTACAATTAGATTTTACGAATGATTGGCTTCAAAAACATTTTCCCTTAAAACGCTTTTAATCATTTTAACAGCACTTTCAAACAAGCTCTTATATATTTTTTAAAGTTTAAACCAAAAGGAGCAAAGGATTTTGAATCATATATCAAAATTCTCAAAAATTTTATGGTGCTTCAAAAGTATATGATTTTTGAGTTTTTTTTTTTAACTTTAAAATATTAATCATTGATTCTTTAACAAAAAATTTAGCGGTTAAAAACTTAAAGTGTTTAATTAATCTTTTTTTTATTTTCTTCTAATTGAGATGTGAATTTGGATTGAGAAAATGTACAGGAGATCACAAATCTTAGAAGATATTTTGGTAAATCAAGACACTCATAAAAGAAAGGGAGTTTTAACGAAAAGTCCACAATAATGTTCACTTTACGAAAAACCACATTTTTACACTAAAAAGTCAATCATGGTCCTATTCACTTTACATTTTATTTTGTCCTTATCGTTAAAACTCAAAGTTTTCAAGTCCTTTTTATTAATTTTCCTTAAAAGGAATTAAACAAAGCAAATTATAAGTAATTAAGAAATCTGTAATGGTAAATCAAATATATCCACGTCGACATATATGGTAATAAATCTGAGTACTCAACAAATCTAGCTATATAAGCAAACAAACTCGGACAATATTGAAAATATTAAGGAAATGGGCTTATCAAGAAGAAATGCGATAGATGCCAAATCGATTCGACCTAACCTTTTCTTAAAAATAAGATTTTATTAAATTCTAATACTAACATTTACATCTGCATCAAAACATTAAACCAATTTGGTCCCAATAAAAATTTCCTCAAGTGTAGTAATGAAAGAGACCATTGAGTGTGCCGCTTCATGGCATGAACTTGTAGGGGATGAAAACACTAGGAGCTGGTTTAAGGTTGCTTAAATTTTTTTACGAGTAGCTTCTTAAAAAGTTGGGATCTTAATTGTGTTTGGTAAACGAAAAAAAAAGGCGTTTTTTTTCTTTTAAAATCCTGGATCCAAAAGAGTAAAAAGCAAAAGCAGCTCTATCTATGCTTCTAAAAAATGATCTTTTTTTCATTAGAGGCGGGCGAGCAATACCATTCATGAAACTTTTACTAGCAATCCTACCCCCATCTTTCTTTGTTAAAAGCACCTTTAGCACTATAGTTCATCGAACATTTACCTGCATTATTTTACAATTGTTTATTCTCACAACACAGTAGAAGCAGTTAAAAAAAAAACATAGCAGCCCCAAACTAATACTAAAAGCCTCAACTGCTTTGCCATTTCCATAAGATCACAGAGTAACTTCAATTGACTCATACCAATCGCCATCTTTCTTTAGCATAAGGATTAGATTGATTTTTTGTAAATACTTAATTTTGGATATCTCAATTAAAATGACGTAACGTTATTTTATTTTCATTGTATACCATGACCCATTAAAAAAATAATAAAAAATTAACAATGATTAATATTTTCAACTTTTTGTAAATCATTGTAGACGCGTGTTAATTAAGGTGGCCGGGCAGCAGTTGGCCGCCGGCTCTGAATATATTTAACATGTTACATGCATGCATGAAATGGGAATGTGGCAAAGAGGCCGTCGAGCCCGTGAAAGAAACAAAGACTCCGTTTCGGTCACCTAACCCTAAAAATAATTTATGCCTTCATGAAATAATTATAAAAAAATATTACTCTTATTATATATTTGTATCATTTTTCTAATAAAAAAAAACTCATACATGTTGGTGAACCATATTTTTATTTGAAAGATGATACAAATATATGGTAACTGTAGCATTACTAAAATTTCATTCATCATTTCAACCAATACAGGATACGACCATATACTGCTGTTCGTAAAGGTTATTGACCAATGAGTGCGTGCCATTTCACAGGAAAATTGTAGCATGCATGCATTGTGTCTTCTGGTCCATTGGAATTGTCATTTGTGAATCGTCTAGGAGAAATTTTACATTGTGACGCGAATACGGATGGTACACTATATGTTTTTATAGAAGTAGTGGGAATTTTTATTTTTTAAGTTAGTAATTAACTTTTTAACACACATATTGCAACATTTGTATAGTAACACATGATGTACCATCTCGTGTACCGATCACACTGAAAAATCTCTCGTCAAGTGGGGCTTATCATCTTGTTTGTTTACCAACTCATGTGACAAGTTACTGTTTTTTGTGAATAAATAAACGAATGAAATTGCTCAGGTTGTATGGTGTTTCGAATACTACTCAAATAGAAATTAATGGTTTTGAGCTCGATGAAGAAAATATTAATTGAAATTACTCAGAGAGATCATTAAGTAGATAGCTTATCATAATTCATGTGGGTAGTGTTTTTCTTTTTTTAAATGGTAAGTTTATTACCAACAAAAGAACAGTTATAAAAAAGCCCAGAAACACACTAGCGCATGTCATGACACCATCCAGAATCCAAAAAATTGAGGATGAAATAGACTTCACCATCCTCTACGGACCATGCGAACGGACGCCACCAAGAAATAAAGGAAGCCTATGGGAAGAAAGATCCGACAAGCGACATCGCCAATAAGGGTGAACACCAAGAAGGACTAACAAAGGTCAACAAAGGTGATGGTGTGAACACCCGAGCCAAAGCTCTACACATCCTCCCGTAGAAATGCGAAAAATTGCAGTAAAAGGCAGGTGAATCGAATTGAGGATTGGTGGAAAAATAATGGAGCCAATTTGTGAAGATGGTAGACGAAACAGATGATCGGAATTTGGGACTCAAGATGGTGAAATCAGAGGCAAGGAAAGTAGCAGGAAGATGAGATCGTGAAGGGTAGATCGGTACGGAACAGGATTGGGATTATTGCACAAAACAGTAAGGGAAAGGAAAAGAAGAAGACAAAAGGAAAACAAGAGACTGCCATCGACCCTGGCCATAACCAGGGCCAGCGTGCAGCTACGCATAAAAACGAAAACGAAACTCACTCACACTACGGTTATAATGGCTCTCACTGGAGGAGAGAAGAATGTGTGTGATCAAGTGGGTAGTTTATCATTGGTTGTTTGTATTTAATGGTACCTTTATAGAATTCTTGAGCTCAATTAAGGAAAAGATAGTGATTTAGTAATGCCATTTTTACTACATCTTTTATATCATATCTGAATTCTCTGTAATAAAGATAAGATTTAAATGTGTTGATGAACTTTACATTTTTTATAAAAATGGTACAAGCGTAGTATAAAAAATGCAATAAGTGTAATATTACTCATATAAAATTAGAAATTATTCTCAGGTGTTGAAGTGCTCCATATAGGAAAGCACTTTTTAGCAAAGTTGTAAGGAATTAAAAACTATTAACCCTTCACTCAAAAAGAACAAACAAAAATACGGTCCCTTCTATTTTACGTACTCCAACTATTAGGGTTTAGGGTAAAAACTAACATGCATGGGCTCCATAAGGTCGAATTAATATACATAAAGTCTGACTTGATGCGTAATGAAATCAGTGAATCACCACCTAAATATAAGAAGAGCATATATTCGACAAATTGGACACATAATAATCACATTACCATAAGGCCAAAAAATTCGTTACGAACGTATCCATCCATTTCCTTGTCACCTCCAACAAACATGCATGCATAAGAAATATGATATATAGTAAAGTAAAAGCAAGACCAAGTTACGACTATCATAGGTTTCTCTCTCTAGGAAACAAACCCTAACCTTGCAAACCTTCACCCGCCGGTCCCTTGCTTAGGCTTGGGCTAGTGGCAGCCCCTCCCACCTCTCTCTAGCATCCCCCTCCTCCTAACCTCTCTACCCCTTGCTTCCTACTCCCTGCCCTTGCTACTTTCCACACTTTTTTCCTTTCCATCCACACCCCCAAACCCCTCCAGCCACTGCTCTCTCTTTCCTCTTTGTTTCCTTGGCCTGACCTGCATCTTCTCCTCGTACTCTTCTGTGCGGTTCCAGTTCTCATAGCTTCTGCGAGCCTCCGACCCACTCCCCCGATCTATTGCCGCACTAGGCTCCTGTTTGGGGCTTAGATCTGCGGTTTTGGATGGGTTTTTTGGGTTGGTTTGTGAGTATTGGACTTACAGTTCTTTTTCTTTTTTTGCTCTTCTTACCTAGTTGGTGGTTGTCTTGCCTCCGGAGATTTCATTTTTTGGTTTTGTGTTGCTCCTGGGTAGGGTTTGCACTTGGAGCTTTCCGGCGGCAACTTCTTGGTCTCCCGATTTGTTGGTGTGCATATTTGCCAGTTGGTTTCTCTCGGTTGATTGGACATCCGAGGGCTCTGCCCTTGAAATTATCATTTTGTCCTCTTTGGGTTCGTGGTGGTGGTGGGGATGGCAGTGCAACCGCTTTTCTTGCAATCACTGCGACCAACTCCGACCGGAGGAATCGCAGGCGACTCTTGGTACTTTTATGTTGGTTTTAGGGTGTGGAGCGTTCCGACAACTATGGTGG